AAATATTTTATCTTATATATATGTAAAACACATTATCTGCGAATTTTAATAGAAGCATCCACACACAAGCAAGCACACTTTCTGCGTCGCCAAGTGGACAAAAATTATACTGGCTGTGCCCCGCCGCCCGACAGCCGTAAGTGAGAGTGAGTCAGTCGAAAAAGAACCGCAACAGCAGCACCTTCTTCATCCTCCACATCCTGCTGCACATCATCATTGCCATTGATGGCGCCATTTTTGTTTTTGTTTGCCTAGCAAGCCAATCTGAGTGTGTGTGAGTATCCTGTTCCCGCCGGTGCTTGTAATCCGAGCTGACAAACTTTGTCTGCAGTTATAAGCACTTTCCCTGTGTGTGCGTGTGTGTGTATGTGTTGTGTGTGTGTGTGTGTGTGTGTGCGTGTGGCTGTGCTCTTCGTGTGAATCGATTTGTTTGTGTGTGTGTGTGCCTTCTGTCGGAATTCGTAAGGAAAGTGAGCTGTTCATTTGCTTTAGGGTCGCCAAGTGGCCGGCCGACGTCTATTTAAGTTTTCCCTCCCTGCTCTTTTATTTATACAGCCAAATACACAAATATATGTGTGTGTGTACGTACATACATGCATACATGTATGCATCTGTGGTGTGTATGAAAAGTCAAGTTAATGGTCTCCTGACATTTTTAAAGGGTAAACAATCGAAATACTCGTACGTCCCTCCGTCTTTCAAATTAGGCTCTACTAATTTAAAGTTTTTATTGTTGTTTAGTAGTAGTTGCTCGTCGAGACGTTTCGACCACATAATTCATTGCGATTATGCACCGCAGCTCTATTTTCGTCATTATACAAGTGGAAATTATTTTTCATTTAAGTGTGTAAATGTTTTTATGTGCTTTGTTTTTATTCAAGGATACCACAAAAGGCACAATATGATAATTCGTTGGAGCAGAGATGGCGGCAGCTTTAATGTGGAGCAAAAGAGATGGGACAGAACAGTGCGCTAGAAAGAGAACGCGAACTTGAGAGAGCAAAGAGCGAAAGCTGAATTACTGCTGCGATATTGTAATTGTGAGCAGACAAATGCGACAACAAAACGCAAAAGCAACAACGAAATGCTCACGAGGGCCACGGCAATAATGATAACTAACCGCAAGAGCGCCGCCAGCGACAGCAGCAGAGCTGTCAACAGCAATGCGGACCATATGCCAGAGCGAGATAGCAACACCATCAGCAGCAGCTTCCGTCCGGCGTCTGGCTGCTTGGCCTACATAACAAAAACAGTTGCAGCTCCACTGTTATACGGACATCTAATGGGGAGGGGGGAAGAGACGGGTGGCAGGCACTGGGTAGGCAGGCGTTGGGGGGTGAGTTGACCAAAGAGAACGACGCAATAAAGGGCCTCTTGTTATGTGCACATGTCTTTTAGACTCCTCTGTTGTCGTTCATGCTGCTTTTCATTGCCACTCGAGAAATTTTTAACGGTTTGCCAGCAGCCACGCGAATCTTTTTAATTTGTTTAGCACCACGCCTCAGCCTGCAGTGCAAGTGGCGCACTTCAACGTTGCCCGCATATGAAGAAGCAGGCGCAATTTCCTTTCAATTTCCTTCCAGGCAAGCAACAGCAAATTGCTATAACAGGCACTTAATGGAAATTTCTCTCTGGCCCTCTGCCGGCCGTTGGTCAGTGTTTGCCAAACAGTTATTTCCTCAGCAACTTCAACGACATTCATTGGCTACTTTCCCATTCACAGTCTGTTGTTTTTCTTGCCAGAACCAAGTACTTACGACTCGTAATGGCTTTTCGGACTCAATACCAAATTCTTGCAATACCTCCGACTGGTATTTGTGATATAATTCACAAATATCCGGCCTAACCTTATTGTGTGCATATATATGTTTATTAAATTATATAAATGGAAAAAGGTAAAATTTTTGTTAGCTTGTGGTCGTTTATCTAATAGGTTCCGTGGTGTAATGGTTAGCACTTAGGACTCTGAATCCTGCGATTCGAGTTCAAGTCTCGGTGGAACCTGAGTATCATACTTTTTTTATATTAACAGAAAAAATTATTGAATACTTATCGGGAAGAGCAAAGAAGAGAAGACAAGAGAGGAGAGAAGAGAAATATGCCGTATGATACACGATACAATTTAATAAAGTATTTAAGTCTCTCAGATGGAAAGAGAAGCGACCACGGCAGGAATGACTTGTGGTTCTGATCAGGAATATATAAATATATAAACGGCATCATTTATGCCTTCTTCCGCCTGTTAATTGTATTTACACATTATCAATAAACTCTTTTATCCATTTTAATTATGAACAGGAAATTCGAATTGTAACCTTTTTCGGCCCCATAGTTTGTAGGTATTAGAAGCAGGTCAACCTGAATGTCATTTTGGGACCACGCAAAAAGTTATGTGTCGAAACGAAATTTAGGAATACACAATACTAACGCAGCAGTATTAACGGTAGAAGTACGAACAACAATAGCACGGTAACTGTAAATGTAATAGTAACTGTTACTGCGACATTTGAAAGCAGCCATAGAGGATTATGGCCGCAACCAGGGCCCAGAGCAGAGGTTATAAAACATCTGAGTGTGCGAAAATGCATTAATAAAAAACAGCGGAACAAACAATAAAAATGTATTATGCAAAGGATTCTTGGCGCGAAGTTGTATAAGTTTATAATGGCTGCAGGTGGTGACCCTTTTGCCACGTGCACCGCAAAATAGGTTAGGCGAGTAATATGTCACTTGGCATTAAAAATAATTGTCTTTTGGCATTCAACACGAAACGGGCAAAGGATAAAAGTAATGCACGGCGTCTCTTTTCATTATGGCTCATTAATCTATGCATGCATGTGTATTATCGATATTTATGTTGTTAATGCTTTTCACTTTTTTTGCGACTACCGAAAAAAACGCAAAGCGCCGCGCACCGACAGGCAATCAACCAGCGGGCTCCGATGTTAAACGAAAACTGAGCATTTAAGGACATTTACGATTGATTTTATACCGAATATACACGACTGGCCAAATTCGCCGAGTCGTGTTATTGCCTTGTTGTTGTGTCACAGAAAACTTCGTTTTGTGAATAGCCGAAAGCGAAAAGAGAGCGCCCGAGCCGCAGTTCGGAGTGAAAGCTTTCGAGCCTTGGCCTGGCCACACATCCCAGAGCTTTCGTATTCCAGCAGGTTGTTTTTTGTTTCGCCAGCCTATTAAAATTACAATGTGACTTTTACCTAATAAGCCCTAGTACACACAACGACTTTGTTAGCCAATTTAATTATTTCTTTCTACTCTTGAATAACAAAACATTTCAAATTTGCCGCCATTCAAAAAGAGTCCGATTTTTACTTGAAAACAAAAGAAAAATATATATCTTTGGTTTGCGTGTCCTATTTGGCTTCTCCGCCTAAACATCCGATTAACCCACATTGATAAATATAACTAGTTTAGTCTAGGCAGCTGCTAAAACTTGTGCTCGATATGGAACACATGGCAGAGCTCGACTCTACACCTTTTGTCAAAGAATAATATTTATGTACCATAAATGCACTCCCCTACAAAAACAAGTAAGAGTGCGCACTTCATGCTGCGGCTGTCCTTTTTCTTTCCTATCCTCGGTATTTACAGTCCGACCGATACAAGTTAATAGTCCATAACAATTTTTGAGGAGAATCATTTAACTTAAAAGCAGAGTTTGATATATTAAAAACCAAAAACTTTTCTATGTTAAAACTCTTTTTTTTTAACAGTTCTTTTAAAAGACATATAAATGATATAGTTATCCGAAGAAATAATTAATGGATAGTTTGGTCAAGGTCTAAACAAAACAAAAATAGTTGTACTTCATTTACGATCTATCGCGTCATTGACAACTAAATAGTATAGAGGTTCGATCCCGCCGCTTTCGATATATAAACAGACTGCAACAAATATACGGATATAAGCAAAGTTTCACGATGTTAGCCATAAAATGAAGAGACTTGTTTATACAGAAATCAACAGACGAATAGACGTGCCTGGCTATGTCAACGGATTTTATACAACTTAAATTGATCAATTTTCAATGCATTTTACATATTTATCCGATTCATTATTTTCGAACAAAAATAGACATGTAGTTGGTTAGCTTAGTTTATACATCTGATCATTTCGATGAAGAATATACTTTTTTTTATATTTTTTTCTTTGCAAAACTATATAAACCATACACACCGCATGCTAAAAATGAGAAATAGAAATTAAATACTAAAGAGTTGGTTTTGAAGTGTCTGGTCAATAAAAGATAGATCTTTTGATGATCAATATACATTGCTGGTTGATACAAAACACATTTATGACAAAATTGACACAGCGGTTCCATGGTGTAATGGTTAGCACTCAGGACTCTGAATCCTGCGATCCGAGTTCAAATCTCGGTGGAACCTGATGAACAAAGTTTTTTTTCTATTTTTCTTTATTTTTTGAGGCAACACAAGAATTATATATCAATAAAATTGTTATATCAGATCAATTTTGTAATGTTTTTTCCCCTTAATTGACGTCTTCAAGTTTGTAGATTTTTATTATTAACTTTTTAGTTGAAGATCATATAGGTTCCATGGTGTAATGGTTAGCACTCAGGACTCTGAATCCTGCGATCCGAGTTCAAATCTCGGTGGAACCTGAGTTCGATTCTTTTTTAATTTTTTTTTCTTTTTATTTTCAGTTCGATTTTAAATACTACGCTTGGAAGAAGCTAACAAAATATTTGTTAGCACGTGTTACTGTTTGAAGAGCTTTCGAGCCACCTGTATACACACACTAGCTGAGGTCAACAATGCGCCAAAATGTGAAGTGCACACACGCAAACACAACAATTGCATGCATGCATGTATGTATATGTATGTAACACCTATCGGTAAATACACACTGAAATAAACTAGTGAATGGCAATATATTATTTGCACACCTTTTGACCCTAGGCTCAATAGGGAAATTATATACGATGCAGCATGAAGCAGGTCTTATTGACTTACCTTTATCACGGAATAGCCGCTTGTATGCGAGCCATTCGTCGGCTGTGAAGCTGGATGGGTGCTCGGGCCTCGTGTAATGATGCAGCCAGTCTGGATACGAGGACCAAATCAATAAAACAATCTTTACCAATGAGATGGTAAACATTAAACTCAACACAATTGCTATCAATACTTTCAGCGAGCCTTTCAACATAATAAATAAATGCACATGTACACAATTGTTTATAAGCCGCAGCGTATTCCCCTTTGGATTAAAGCACGCTAAACATTTTGTTTAACATTTCAGAATTATATGCACGTCGCGACTGCAGCGTTGTTTACAACGCGAGCAGCGCAGAACAAACCATTTTGCTTTTTTTGTGTATTTGTGACATACAGAAAGAAGCGTAGTTAATAGCTTGAAGATTTGATTTAAATGCAGCCGTACATATTTGTTTTTCTTTTTTTCTTAACACAAAAACATTAAACGATACAGAACAAAACAGAATTCTGTTTGACTTGGTGCATTTGCCTTTCTGCTGAACAGCTGACAGACAAGGTTACCGGAAAGTCATTGCCAACAGTCTGGCAGCACTGTTGTCAGCCGATACACAACCCATCCAGTTCACAGCAAATATTCATATTTATAAAAAATTAAAAGAAAATTAGTGCGAGCCACTTTACAAACAGACTCTTTTTTGGTATAAAAATAAAAGCCAATTAGGTTCCACCGAGATTTGAACTCGGATCGCAGGATTCAGAGTCCTGAGTGCTAACCATTACACCATGGAACCGCTTGTCCGATGAGTGGCAAATGTCATAAAAACTTTACGTTTTGTGCTGTAATTGAAAATTTAAAATTTCATTACAAAATACAAACAATTATTGAAGAATATCACTTTAACGAATGTATAACGCTGATAAAAAATTAAAAAAAAAAAATAATTCGTTTCATCAGGTTCCACCGAGATTTGAACTCGGATCGCAGGATTCAGAGTCCTGAGTGCTAACCATTACACCATGGAACCGCTTGAACACCGGGTGTCCAAGATTGTATATAATGTAGCTTGCCATTGAACAATATGTACGTGTGGAAGTTTATGGTGAAACTAGTTAACGCACAAAAGCTGAATTATTTGGCACCTAACAATTTTTCGTTCAAACCATTTTTGTGCTTTTAAGTTGTTCTTTATTTAACTTTTTTTGTTGTTTTCATAAGCATTTATCACTAAAACCTAACTAGAATTGCCAGCGTGCATATTTTCCATGTCCATTATTACAAGTCCAGGTTTAATTCGCCGTCATTTATCATTGGTTAATTGGACGAGAGCACTCTCAACCGTAATACGCGTACGGGGATGCATAGCCAGTGTAGGCATAGGGACTGGCGCCATAGTAGAACTGTGGAGACGGCTCTGGGCTGGCAATTGGAACCGGAGCAGGAGCAGCACGGGCAACGGGCGCCGGACCGGCTACTGCAACAGCGAAGAGCGCGGCGAAGAGAACAACGAGCTGCAAATGGAGAAGATTGGAGGAGGATTTATTATTGTCCATTTCTGTCACATCTTGAATAAGGCTTCCTTCCCACTTACAAGCTTGAACATTTTGGAATATTGGTTTGATTGTTTTGATGTTGTTGAAGGAATTGCAAGTTGGGTTTTGATGCTGTTTGCCAGAGCCGAGAGTCTTTTTATACCCGAATCTGATTCTCATGACTTATTTATGAAGAACAACCGAGTCATGTTCACTTTTTCTTTTTTTTTTCGGCACACATTCTTCAAAGTTGTTAATAGTTTTGTCAGCAATCAAAGCGGCTTTGCATTCTAATGCCTTCTTATTCGGGAACAATAAGTATAGTTATACAAATATATATATAGTATATATTTGACTGACCTTCAAAGCGATTGGTAATTTGTTTTGATTCTTGGGCCCGCCAAACAAATTTCGTAATGCATCTTGCATATTAATTGGAATTTCTTTGGGGCAGGCTTTTAGCGAAGCTCTGATCGCATTTGGCAGCAATTAAAGTGATAAATGATTGAGTATTTTGAATAAAAGTTGCAAATGACAACAGCAGCCCAGTCTGTGCGGAATATTAATTGCGAGTCCCCACGAAAGCGAATCGATGCAGGCGAAAAATCCGCAAGATATAAGTATTTATATCTATTTCAGATGCGAATTCCAATGGTCACATTCTATTTTCCAGACTGACAAAATACTTCCGTGTGGTTACGGTTACTTAACAATTTGTGTAAAAATTACAAGAATAAAAATAAATGAATTAGATCATCATTTTTAGCAACTACAAACTGTTCTGTCGGAACTTGGAAAACTTTAACATCTCAATCAGAATATAGATATAGAATATAGATTTACAAATCAGCAACTTTGGTTGTCTTTCATAATGTCAATCGATCTTAAATTAAGTTTATTTTATGAATTTGGTTTTTCAAGATATCTTAAGCAAACATCATTTCTATTGATGTTTCCTTTGAATTTCCTTAGCGACTTTTAGCTTATATTGAAATCCTGAAAAAGGAATCAAAATCTTGTCATTATATTTTGGTTCCCAAGTTCGACTTTTCACATAATTTGATTGTCTCAGTGTAAATTAGTTTAAATGAAATGTAAATCAATTCAAATAAATAATTTAGAGTAGGCTAAAAGTTAATTTGGTTGGGTTTGGCAGCCGTATTCCATTCAAATGAAGCAAAATCGTATCCAAGCAAAAACTCGATTGTATTCATAAATTGTAATAAGGATTCGATTCGATTCCATTTCTACTGTCTTCAGGCTATCTATGAAGATAGCTTCCACAGACGGATTGACTGGATCGGAACTGTCTTTGTTTTTTTTCAATGTGGCACACATTTTGTGACATAATAAACTTCGCAAATGTTGAAAATGTGAGTTGGCATTAAATGTGCAAAAAGTCGATTGTTATATTTAAGAGGATTAAAAAGTTATTTTTGATTTGCTTAAAGATTTTTTAATTGTTTCTAATGATACTCGCAAGCGTTTCGGCTGCCAGCTAATAGATGTATGTACATATAAATAAATTGAAAATAAATAGAAATAATTTGGTGCGCCGAAGATAACATACCCTTGCGATAATACTTAACGACTTCTTATGAAATATACTCTGATAAATTGGGATGATCATAAGACTTTTCTTTACAGTCGAAAGTTTAGTTAACTTCGCAATAGTTTAGTTTGTTTTGTTTGAAAGTCTAACAATTAATTCCTATAAAAACTAGGTCAACGTTTTTATCTATAAGAACTATATGAAATAGTAGTCTGACGTAAATAAGATATTCTCCGCTCTGTAATTATAAGCAATATAATCATTTTTCTGGTACTTAAATAACAATATTCTGTATGAAAAGATTGTTCCTTATGCTCTCTGATAGAATTCAAAATTTGGGAAAATTAGGCAAGTAAAGAGAAATTTCGTAGTGGATGAGATAAAATGAGAAATATATTTAGAAAAACACAGGCATATTTTGAAATACCTGATTAATATTTATGCTGAATATGGAACTCGAAAATAAGAAGAACTTACCATATCGAAAAAAAAAACGTTGGCTCTGTTACCAAAGAAATGTATTTTCCATATCAGGATTGGAATACTGCATTTATCTTCATACAAAATATTATATATTTAAAAAAAAACTGCAAACACAAATATGATTGAAAAATGTAAATATACATATCTTAAGGTAATGTATTTTGCTTGAAAATACGAAATTATGAATAAGGTTGAAAGTCTTGGGAAATTCGAAACAGGACACTTTCTACTTCGAGATACTATATGTATTAACAGAACTACATTAGATATAACAAAATAAGAATTTTATAAATAAGAAAGTAAATAGTTTCTTATAAGTAAAGAGTTTGGGCTAAAATGTTTTACTTGATATTGTGAAGGTCCAAATTAGTGTAACCAAATTTCTCAAAGCCAAAAATAAGTAAAAGCATAAATTTCTGAAATGCCAGATCACGGCCACGTCAACGATGTATTCTTGGATGCATTGCCCATTCGATGACAACATTATAATACCCTAATGACACTTACGGAGTCCGGGCTGGGATGACAAATACGATTATTGGCGCGTCGTGACGTCTCCCGGGACCCGGGATGATGACGCGAAGTGCATGCGAAATTTCTGTGGCCCAACCAGTCTTGAATATAAAAGCCAGAATTGAAACGAAAACGCGCAGTTGACTCTGTTTGCGTTCAAAGGCGATAGCTAAGATATTTTCTGATCATGTTGAAGCTGGTAAACGAAGGGGCAGGGAATGGAATGGGGCACATCTACAAGCATAGAGAACTCAGTTGGGTATTTTCTATCATTTTTTCAGTTGTTCCTGATACTCGCTGCACTACTCGCTCTGGTTGCGGCAGTGCCAGCTCCAGTCGCAGGACCGAAGCCCGATCCAAGCCCGCAATTCATTTATTCCGCAGGCTATCCGGCCGTGGCCTATGCATCTCCTTATGTTTACTATGGTTAAAATGACTTCTAAGTGATGACAATAAAGTTTCTTCAGCATTTAAGAAGATTTTCTTTTTGATTACGAGACGGCGGAACAACATTTTTATTTACATGCATCTTTTAAGAAATCAATTGTGGCCGAATTAAAAAAAAGTCAAAGATCCCAGCGCAAAGATCAGGATTCCAGAACAGAACAGATAGGGCTGCATATATGCTATAAGGAATTTCTTAGAGCGCCTGGGCAACAGGATAATAGTAAGAAATATATGCAAACAATATAACACATTTTGCTAGTTATGTGTTATATTGTGCAGAAATATATCATAAAAGGAGTAAATTTTCTAGTACACATACCATGAAATATACTAGTAAAATCTAGAAACAATCGACAGGAGACTCCTTGATTATTAAACACAAAAACTGCAAGGACTTTCTAGCTGTGACAAGAAAATGACGACGTTTTACTATTCATAAAGATGTTTCCGAAATATTTGTAGTTACAATCTTAAGAGCAGCTCATCAGCAGTTTTCCCGTCCAAATAAGCTTCAAAACTATAGAAATCGTGTTAGGCCAAGAAAATTACAATTATATGAGACGCGTGCTTTGATGAATATATATTTCAAATTTCAAGTCTGTCGCTTTCATTGCTTTCATACGTGCAGACTGATGGACGGCACGTAAACGTATGAACAGAGTATATCAATTTTGTATAACACTTGACAATGGAACCCGCTTAGAAAATCTATGTATTAATTGTTGTTGGCTATTAACAGCAGAGACACTAAATTTACAGTACCTATTAAAAATGTTAAAAGTGAAGTTGAAAGGGTATGCAAATTTCGTCATTTGTCTAACATCAATTAGCGACATATTTTTTTCTGTTTAGCGGCAGGCATTTTAACAGCCTGGATGACTCGAGGAGAGACACAGATTCTAAAAATAGCATCAGCGTGTCTATCCCCTTTGTGCCAGCCCCCTCTTAACATACTGAGTTCCAAATATGTAAATACTGAGCAGCCGAAAAGTATGCAATGGTAATTGTTGTAGCTTTATATGCGCCCAATGTTATCTCTTTTGACAGCGGAGAAACAGAACAGCAAATGATTCCATTGGAAGTAATGGAATTACACTGGAAGTCTTAAAAGGAAACAATGAAGTGGAAATAGGAAAATAAATAAATAGCTGTCTCTAAGAGTGCAGCTGTTATTGGAGGAGACACCTTCCACATCTTAAAGATATACTGAAAACTCACCGAACTGGCATTTAACAGACACTTTACTCAAACCACAGCTATTACACATCTTATTTTACCTGAGCGAACACCTGAGCCGTTGTCCGCCCAAGAGTGCTATCACTGTCCTTTATGGAGTCAAAGAAACCTTCATCTGCCTGTTGTCTGCACATTTAAATGCAATCTAAACAAAATAAACATAATTCTTTAAAAGAATTAAAAGAATTAAATAAAGCATCAATTCAAGTCGACTTCAAATTCTAACGCCATCTACCGGACATTGAAGGCGCCACCTAGTGAATGAAAGAAGCATCAGAAACTTATATATTCCTTTGATACTTTCCTGCCATCACTTTTATAGGAATTTAAGCTTGGGTGTTATACGACAACGTGTGGTGAAGTATAGCTCTGTGTATATTTGGATTTATGGATTTCTGTTATGGCTGTCCTGTATAACTGTATAACAAAAGCTCTTTGACTTTCCTACGCTCTCCTGCCGAAAGCTTCAACATGGCAATTCCCCTGTCAACAAATCGAGCTTTGGCATAATGTTTAGCAACATGTTGCGAATGCCGAAAAAAACTGCTTCAATACGAATAAAGTTGCGTGCTGCCTGCTGGAGGACGATAAGTTGTCCACGAAGTGACGAAAATAAAGGATTCCACAAGAGCCAAAATGTCGTCCAGTATATTTTGTGATTTTGCAGTGATTTGAACGCGCCAGCGAGCGAAATCAAGTGTAAGCAAATTACGGCTGAAGTCACTGTGAAGTCCGTGTGTTGTTGCCTCGTGCGCCCGAGGAGCATGTCCTGTCGTCAAGCTGTATGAGTTTCAGTCCATTTTTGGCGCTCGCTGGCAATGGATCACGAAACGCGAATGCCAAACCAAACGGAGCGCGAGCCTTGCACGTAAGGCGATAAAAAGGACGAAACTAAACACAAAAGCCGTAACAGTTAGCAAGGATATGTGCAGGTTATCCCATCTCTGCAGTGTCTAAAAAAAGAATAATAACAAAAATATCGCAAGCCATCCATCCTGCCACGCAAGAAATATGTAATAAGGATGCCTTCGCCTCAGTCGTTGTCCCCGGCGATGATGTCATCCGCGCGTGTGTGCTCCAAAGTGAAAGTGTTGCAGGTCCGACAATTGCGGCTCCTGACGACCCGTGAGTAATTATTTTGGCCAACCTGCGACCCCTTTGGCCCATTATCCGCCAAAAGTGAGCGTAAGTGCAAAGCGTAATTAATTAATTAACTAACGATTGTCCAAAGAAACAAGCTGCCAAGTTTAAGTTATCCGAAGGATTACGTCGCCTCACAAAAACAAAAAACGAATCACAGCGATTAAAAAAAAGGATCACAGCCGAATTATATATAAACTGTTTACATGTGTATCATGGATATTTTCATATTACTTTGCTGCCTGCTCCAGTTGGCCAGAAATGGTAAGAAATGCTTCCTTATATAATTTAAGCAAAATGTTCTCCAACATATATATCAATTTAATTTCGATAACTTGGAAAAACTTGCTAGAGTTATTAAAAGTTCATATATATAAAAGAGTTTGTCCCGAATTATTGGCAAGAAATTGTAAGAAATGTTACCCTTTATAATTTAAGCAAAATATTGTCTAAAAATATATTATTTTATAATTTAAATTCCATAATTGGAATAACTAGCGAGAGTTATTAAAAGTTCATATATATAAAAGAGTTTGATCTGAATTATTGGCGATCTACAGAAGTGTCCGTTTAGGTCGAAAGTGAGATACAAGATACAAAACATGAGATACAAAAACATCAAATAGAACGCAGCCATATAAGAGAAGTGTGCTTTGCGAACGTGACGTCAGCCTGTGGGGCATAGTTTGTGTCTGAGTGTCGAACTAACAAGCGAGTGGTCGCCGGTTCAAATCCAGCAGCAGTTTACAATTTTTTACCTGCGTGGATTTTATATGCTATTATTAACAAATTAAAAAATGAATAAAAACGTGGATATTTGATGTGATGTATATGATTTGATGAAGTATCGCTAAATGTGGGTGACATAATGATGATCATGTTTCGGACCTTAAACTAAGTCTAAATCCAGCCATGAGAGACTATAAGATCTGCAGACTCTCTTATCTCATTTTTTCATAAACTGCCGTTCCTCAAAATTAATATATGTATATACATTTTCAGCACCTGTTTTCAAACATCTAGAGTCACCAAATAATCTTAAAAAAATATAAATTAAAACAGATTTAATAGCTAATTGTTATATAAACAGTTTTGACTTACGACTGTAATCAAAGAAAGGTCCAAAAATTCTTTAACAATAAATTGTCCACATTTGAAAAATTGAAAATGAGTTGGAAGCCTGTCAAAATAAACAAAAAAAGATATGACGATTAGTAGTTTTCCGCCCCATTTTCGATCATTTGTTTGACTTTATAAAATCGTTGCAAAACTTATTTGTTCATTTATGATGTTGAGCTTTAAGCGAAATGTCTTTCAATTCAATTACGAAAAATGTTGTTTTTAAAAGAATTTCTAAAAACTGTAAAGGACGTTCAAAAAAAAAAGTTATGTTTTCTGATGGGCCAGTTGGAATATTTTTGAACCCATCTGTAAAGGAGCTCTTTCAAATTTTCTTCCTTTCAAACTGTCATAGATATATATATATATATTCGCCTGTAAAGTGGGTGGGGTTGGATGTGATTGGTTATTAAAGAAATGCAACGATGATTTTTCTGTAAATTTTCTACCTAATGGACGTGCCTCAATAATTAATGCACTTTCATGCGAATAGATTTACATATTTCAAATTTTAAGCCATACGAAATTGCGGCAGCAAGAGGAATATTTCACAAAAGCAAAAAACACTTTTTTAATTTCGTGAGCTGAGCATGAAAAGCAAGAGTGCCCTAATGGGGAGTGTCCGACTAGGCGATACCCCGTACCCGGGCTACCCAAAAGTAAATTAGCTAGGGCTAATTTATGCCAAAAGTAAAAAAGTCTTTTGTATCTGTTTGTATCATACGATACACCAAATTTGATATATCTAGGTCTTATGTTCTCCTGTTCTTGCTTTGAAATTCCTGTTTCAGAATCTCTTTTTTTTCGAAGGAGATCTCGGAAAGGATAAGCACATTTGAAGTATGATAAGCTTGCAAATCTCTAGACATACAGACGGGGCTGGGTCAACTCAGATATTCATCATGATCGAGAATATATATATATATATTCAAGCCTGTTGAATAGATTGAACACTTTTATACGCTTTTTAATGGGTACAGGCTGGAAAATATGAAATTTATTGAATAAATTTCGAGTATTTCTTTTAGAGAACTCGGCGCTGGGAATAGGGTATTTGCCAGTCGGGCACTCTTGACTAGAGCAAGAGGGGTAATCAAATCTAAGTAAAGACTAATAAAAATATTGTCCCACTTTTATTCCAATTTTTATGAGTTAAGTTCCCATCTTGTCGTGAAATTGTGCTTGGAATATCGTTTCTTTCTCTCTTGCCAAATGAGCCGTAGATATTGGCAGCTGCTCGTCAGCCGCGCCCTCTGTAGCTGCTGTCCCTGCCAAATTATAGAAGAAATGATTAATTCAATACATTTAACAATTTTTTTACAGCAGCTGCAGTCCTTGGAGTCGGCGAGCTTGAGAGCTCCTCCACCGGCGTGGGTGACACGCTGCCCCGGCAGCCGTCGGCGACCCTCACCCTGACGCCGTCGACGCCGTCGATAACCCATTTTGTAAATGACTCCTTCATCATCTTCTGCAAAACAGTACAAAAGGACATCGACACCAAGTGGCGTGATCCCAAAGGCCAGCCCCGTGAAAACACCAAGGGTCGCGTCCACATCGAAAAGAAGACGGGTAAGTTCTGAAGTGCAAGGGAAATCTCGGAAGAGACTCTGCCAGACCTAATGTCCATGCAGAGAGTTATCCTTAGAGCTAGCCAATATCCAAGTTGTCCTTCCTAGGCTTACTCGCCCTGGTCTTCGAGCACATTTCACTGGACGACAAGGGCAACTGGACCTGCGAAATGGATTCGTCTGCAGCACGGGAAGCAAGAAAGTCCTTTGAACTCCTCGTAAATCGTAAGTCGAAGACCGAGTCATCTAAGAGGGAATCTAAAAGAAATAGTTGTTTGTACTTACAAAATATGGGCAGAGATAAAGTTGTTTTCCCTGCATCCCAGCTCCAGCCCAATTTTTGGGTTTATTCTAAGATCCCAATTTCTTGTAAAGTATATAACACTTCAAGAACTATCTAGAAGCAGCAATTATCTTCGGAATAACAAGGACTATATTAGTCTGCAAAAAGAGGCTATTTTACTTTAAGCTGCTGCCAAAGTTAGCATAGATGAGACTATCATCTGGTATGAGATAAGTTTAGATTAGGTAGCCCAATTTGGCCTCGACTCACTAGGAGCATAACTGATCAATTGCGATAACTTCCAAATTTCCAAAGAAAAAAGGAACAATAAAGGCAGCACTAAGCTCCACCCCGAGGCACAGATAAAGTCTTAAATGTACATAAGTTTCAATAGAAAATAGGTGCAGAAAAGATGAGACACAGTTGCTTCATCTTTTTCAAATTGACAACTGTTGCAGAAGTGTTCATAGGGGTCGACGGGTCTAAAGACATGAGCTACATTAACATTTGACTAAATAGAAGTTTTTTTTTCGCAAAGTTTGATGCAATGATATGTTAGACATATACATAAAATACATTGCTTAAATATCGAAAAGGGATATATGTATATCTATGAGCCACAGGTAAAAGAAGAGTCTACATTATGGGTATTCCAGACAAGTAGGATCTAACGAAAACCTTTTAGCAGCTCGTTTACTGGGGATTGATTGAAGTATTTATGTGTCTAGAGTGAAATCTCTCTTGGGCGGACTGTGAGTGTGGGCTAGTTTTTGTCCGCTCAAGAGGAGTGTTCGCCTAATAGATGGGATAAAGGTGACGCTTGCCCAAGTGGAGGAGTTTACTTTAGGAGAGTTTTAACTATATTAACAGAAATTAAATCAAATTTATAATAAATTGAAATGATGTCACTGTCTATATATATAATCAATTAATTATGAGCCATGTCAAATTAGTAAAATATTGATTTACTCAATTGGCAAACAGAAAAGATTTCATTCGACAAGACGGATCAGGTGCAATCGGTGCGCGAGGGACGCGATGCCATGGTCAACTGCTTTGTTAAGGGCCAGCCCGTGCCGGAAGTCTCCTGGCTGCACAACGGCGAATATATTAACAGTTAGTTATCAACACAGCAAAAGGTGCGAATTCTGCTAAATCCAATCTCATCCGTCGTTTAGCTGTGAACTCAACGAAGCACAAACGCCTCTCCGACGGGCTGTTCATCAGGAACGTGAGCCAATCTGATGCCGGCGAGTACACATGTCGCGCCATGCGAATCACGCCAACATTTTCGGACTCTGATCAAATAACGATACTCTTAAGGATTCAACGTAAGTGAAGACACAGACTCCATTGAGAAACTGAGCACACTTCCAGCCTAAAACCAAGAATATCGTACTTAAAGCAAGTAAGCCCGGTCAAAAAAGGACGGCAATACTTGATTCAAGTGTGACATTCTTATTTCAAGTATAACTTTTAAAGTACGAAAATACTTGAATCAAGCTTTGTTTGTTACGTTTTTCTGACTTTAAGAAAGGAATAGTATTGAATCAAGTCTTAATGACTTAAAATAAGATTTAAGAAACCTCAATTATCCTTATTTCACCTTGAAATAAGACTCGTTTAGTCTTAAATTGAGCCCCATATGTCCTTAATACATTCCCAGCTTTGAGCTTGAATTAAGTTTGTATTCATCTTAATTCAAAAGCTCACAAACTTAAATTATGTTTATTCTGCTGAAGCATTTTTTTATATCCTTGTTGGATAGCTCTTTAAATAATTTTTGATGTATAAATAATGTGTGTTCCTATTGGAAATGGAAAAGGGTCTAATCGTTTTATGCAAATGTTTGTTACAAACAGAAGTAGGCATCTCTCTTCATTAAGTATATCTATCCATGATCAGCATCAGCCGAGTGGATATATCTATGCCCGTCTGTCTATCTGTCTATCCGTACATCTATCTCTGTAGATATGTCAAAGCTAAAGTCTTTCATTTTGAACAATGCACAAAAATATTAAATATTTATATCTTCCATAACTGGCGCCGTTTTCTCAAAACATTCTCAGATATAAAAAAGATATCGACAATCATAAGACTAGAGACTAACTAGAGACACCAAATTTGATAAATAGACTATCGAATTGCTATTTTTTTTTTATAAACGTTGTTTGGTATTGAATCAAAAATAATATACATTTTTATAAAAGCACTGATAGCTCAGGCGATGTTTCATCTGGTAGGTTCCTCAGGCTTTATTACTCGAATAGTATAATTCCCGAGAAACTGAAAAAAAAGTGTGATAACTTTTGTATAGATCCCAAATCCAAATACAAAAATCGAAACATTCAAATTAGATGTTTTATAAAAAGGTTATCAAAGAAGAAAAATAATTTGCAGTTTTCCAAAAAGGAAAGTATGCGAAGTTAAGTTATTTAGTAACTCGTATCTGTATTTGTAGAAAATGTCCTTTCTGACGGGCTCACTTTGTGTACAGCTGCTTCAGAGAATATATATGTCGAAGAAAAGGCCACTGTGTTCTCTATTAAATTCCATTAATTTTCTAATGTTGGTCAATATTGATAAAGAAACAATGCGAATGTCTCCATATACAATTAAGTCAAAGACTAATTCCGATTTTGTATGTGATTCGAAATGTTAGCTTCTTAAAAGGACTCCCGGCTGCGAGCAGCTGGCAGCTTAAACATTTTCGAATTAACATGGTTCGCCTAACATGGCCAATGGGCCAACGTCTGCTCTCTGGGCCAACTAACACGAGCCAAGGAATTGCCAACATTCATTTGCTTCTTCCGCCGCCCCCGCTCCAGGACGACCCCCGGCAATTGAGTTGCCATTACCATCAAAATTTCACTAATGACTACCGACCATTGCCGGAGTCCTGGCGGGAGAGTAAGCTGCCCCCCCCCCCCCCCCCTTCCCGTATTGACCCACTGCTGGGAAGGGCTAGCCCGAAAAGCAAACAGCAGCCAATGCAGGCCAGTTGGAATGCTGCAAATCTGCAATATATATGTTTGCATTTCCTGGGCAATAAACTTCAATGAGCGCCAGCGAGGACGTCGACAAGGACAACGACCAAATGGTGAAATGTGTCATCAGTTTGCGCCTGAATGAAGCCGCTTGTTGGGAGCTGGCTGGGAGCTGACTGGGATTCAGCTAAGGGTTAAATAGATGCAAGCCGCACAAAAGCAAAAAAGCGTAACTGATGGAGCATTTTGTTAAGACAACGACAAAGTGCATAGGTTTAGCTCCCAACCCTTCCTCTATCTATCCTCCTCTATCCAACTGTGATCAAACACAGCCGGTTGAACAGCTATGCGGGTCTCCCGCCCACACTCACCTCCTCCTCCTCCTCTAACATTCTTTGACCATTATTGCAGACAAGCCTCAATGGTTCTACAACGAAACGCTGCCGGTGCAGTACGCTTATGTGGGCGGCTCCGTCAACCTGAGCTGCGATGCGATGGGCGAGCCGCCGCCATCGTTTACGTGGCTGCACAATGGCAAAGGTATTTTGGGCTTCAATCATCGCATCTTCATGGCCGACTACGGCGCCACACTGCAGCTGGATGTACGCAATGCCAGCCAGTTCGGGGACTACAAATGCAAGGTGGCCAATCCGCTGGGCATGCTGGAGCGGGTCATCAAGCTGCGGCCCGGCGCCAAGCCAATCGGACCGACGCGCTTCCAGCTGAAGCGCCTCTTTCCGGACGGCTTCGAGCTGGACCTGCGTACGCCCCGTATGACCAACGTATCCGACGAGATGCAAATCTATGGCTATCGCGTTGCCTACATGAGCGAAAGCGATTTCAAATACAGCGCCGGCAATTGGAGTCATGCCAAGCAGCGGGATTTCTCCTTCCATCGTGGTAGGTCATACTCTTCGTTTACTCAGCTTTACTTTCACCTTTTTGCAATCGAACATTTCTTTTTATTTATATAATTATTTAATTTTATTTCATTTTCCCGATAGATAACATATATGTAAGTTTATATAGAGGTCCGACCTTCCAGAAAAATATAAAACTTCAGTATAAGATCATAAATTGAACTTTTCACTTGGCTGAACCGACGACGCAATACTCTATTATCCGTCTAATTAGTCTAATCAGTCTAATTATCTATTATTATATTATATTATATTAATTAGTCGAAAAGTGTCTTCTTGAAATTTTGGCTGTCTACTCTTAAACTGTAAGCAACGACCTTCAAACTGTGACTAGCAAATATTGATTTTTCATGCTATTCGCATTTTTAGCTTCATCGTTAGAGCAGCTCATAAATAACCTTCTGTCAAAGTTGGCTACTCTAGCTTTAAGACACGGGCAGACATCGCATTTCGCACTCGCCCGCCCCCAAGTGGGTGTGGCCAGGCAATTTGAACACTTTGTCTGGCGGGAATATACACGAATAGATCTTTGAAGGCTTAGGTCTCCAGCGTCAATGGGAATCATGGCTTTTACGGACACGCAAACAGCTTGGCGTTCATTTTAAATCAACTATCAACTCTTTTTCACATTTTGTACAGAGCATGATAACTGAGTTTTGATATTGAGCTTTGTAAAAAATGTGTTGCTGAATAAGAATCAGACTTTCATACTGTACAACAGGCAATTCCCGGCCGTGTAGCCTACTCTATATATTTAAGTACATTTGAGATACCAAAAAGTTACAAAAAAAACAAATACATATTATATTTCGGCATTGTGGACATTCAAAAACATTACCAGAAACACTTAAGTTACCTGCTCTATAACTTTAACTATAAAATCAAAACAATTTAACGTGTCAGACTTTGCAATTTGATCAGACCTGGTCGAACTGTTTCAACTTCGTTTTCGATACATATAGTTGAACCATGGAGATTATTGTTGTTCCTTTCTCGACTAATGCCACACCAATGTCAACATCTCTTGCTATCATAATACTTTTCTAGCCCCAACGTGCTTATCCCTAGTTCTGCATTCACAAAAACAAACAAATATTGTCCTTCTTAAACTCCTTCAGTCAGAACACAATCGAACTCTCTCATTCACAGATTTATTCCAGCTTAATTAGTCGAAAGAAATATTCTTGGTAATTGGGTTGGTGACTTTAAGACTTAAGGAAACAAATTTCGCAAAACCTGAATATTTTAAACTCGACCTCTAAAGAAGGCTATAATCCATAAGATTTTGTTGACTCGAGGTCCAAAACTGCGGAATCTCTGTAAATAAAACTGTTTGTCCAGCTGATTGATTGCTGATTAACGTAAAGACTGTACTCTTCGATCTAGGAAGCTGAAGTTTTTACTTTATTAAGAAACAAATTCCACCTGCAAGTGTGGAAAAAACTCGGAAAACTGTTGAAACTATGTTGTTTATTTACCATCCAATCGGCCTAAAACTAAAGACTGTACTCTGAGATCTAGGAGGCTGCAGTTTTTACTTTTGTAAGAAACAAATTCCACCCGCAAGTGTGGAAAAAACGCGGAACACTGTTGCATGAAACTTTGTTGTTTATTTACCATCCGATCGGCCTAGAACTAAAGACTGTACTCTTCGATCTAGGAAGCTGAAGTTTTTACTTTATTAAGAAACAAATTCCACCTGCAAGTGTGGAAAAAACGCGGAAAACTGTTGAAACTATGTTGTTTATTTACCATCCAATCGGCCTAAAACTAAAGACTGTACTCTGAGATCTAGGAGGCTGCAGTTTTTACTTTTGTAAGAAACAAATTCCACCCGCAAGTGTGGAAAAAACGCGGAACACTGTTGCATGAAACTTTGTTGTTTATTTACCATCCGATCGGCCTAGAACTAAAGACTGTACTCTTCGATCTAGGAAGCTGAAGTTTTTACTTTATTAAGAAAAGGAATTCCACCTGCAAGTGTGGAAAAAACGCGGAAAACTGTTAAAACTATGTTGTTTATTTACCATCCAATCGGCCTAAAACTAAAGACTGTACTCTGAAATCTAGGAGGCTGAAATTTTTACTTTTGTAAGAAACAAATTCCACCCGCAAGTGTGAAAAAAACGCGGAACACTGTTGTATGAAACTTTGTTGTTTATTTACCATCCGATCGGCCTAAAACTAAAGACTGTACTCTGAAATCTAGGAGGCTGCAGTTTTTACTTTTGTTAGAAATAAATTCCACCCGCAAGTGTGGAAAAAACGCGGAACACTGTTGTATGAAACTTTGTTGTTTATTTACCATCCGATCGGCCTAAAACAAATTTTTCAAGATCTTCGTGAAAATTCGTTTGACATGTGTTTCACACTTTTGTGCATTGCTGGTCAATATCTGTTAGTGATGGATAACAGGGAAATCCATTATTTATTATTGTTTGTTATTTGATATTTTATTTGTAAATTCATAGAGCCAAATATTTAAAAACAAACTACTCGTGCAGGTCATCGTTTCATCATTCCCCATCTGGAGGGGAATACGACCTATTTGGTGCGCGCCGCCTCACGCAACTTGGCCGGACTCAGCGATTGGAGCAACGTGAAGATATTTGCCACAGCAGCGGCTCCCAACTGGAATCCGCAAGGATGGGGCTGTCACGTGCTGCTGGTCTCGGTCTTGGGGCTGGCTTTATTTTGGCGTTAGAGCTGCGGATGGATGAATTGGCCTCTGAATGAAGTCTACTGTAGATTAAGTTAATGTTGTTATTGTTGCTAAATTTTGGTACCTTGTGTTTATGTGTATCTTCTGTGATAGACTTTTTGTGCAATCCACTTATCCGAACGGAGAATGCTTTATAATTACTATGTTCAACCATTGCCAACCATTTCGCTGCCAACATTCTGCTCTTTTATCAATGTAGTTTAGTTGCATTCTTTTTGGAATAATCGTTTCAAGGCAATCCAACGGTATACATATATACATAAATACATAGTACATATGCATTGTCAACTCTTCGATATACTCGTTCAATGTCAAAGCCTCACTCTACATCAATGTTGTTTATGCGAAACAAACCATTTATAGGATAAGCTAAGATCTTCCCAACAAAACAAAACCAACTCACTTTGATGAATTTTACAAAAGTCCAAAAGAGAAAACAAAAATAAAAATGATATGAAATAAAAATTTAAAGACATGAATGTTGTTGAAAGAAAAGAAAAAACAAATAAAGGCATAGCAAATCAATAATAAATGTGAATTCTTATAGGCCTAATTAAATGGAAAATAAAGTAAAAAATAAATACAAATAAAAATAAAATAAACTAAACTCAAATGCAAATAAACCATATAGATGATAAGTCGAGGATATGAATAATACGGAAATAAAAACAGTTAAATGTGTAAACCGATTTTGTATTATTTACCCAATTTAAATAAAGCCTACCATATTATTAAAAGTAAGTATTCATAGTATAAATATTCCGGAGAGTCATAAGAATTTTTTGATATTTTAACAATAATTAATTCTTAGTAAGTTGTGCAACTTTTATTATTAGCTTCCTTTCTTAAATTTGTTTTTGTTGTTATTAAAGGAACAACTTAAATTAAACTAATATGAATAAATACTAATACAACTTATTCTACAGTGAAGTCTCACATAATAAAAACCGATCTGAGATGTGGATTGGTTGAGACCTCCGCAATCTCCTCCGCATTCGGACTCCTCCAATTCGAAGTCTCTTATCTCTAGTCGATAGAGATGATTTCCAAACCGCGTGAAAGAATTCGCAGCCTTTATTTATATTACGTCCCCGACTTTGGGAACATTAAGGCCTCTTTTGAGAGAGTTTCTTCATATTTCAACAATAGTTAATTTTTATCAATAATTTTGCCAAATTTAGATGCCAAATTTATCTAGAGGCCAAGCCATGAACAAAAAGCCAAGCCTGGTGGAAATCGGATGACATTTGACCGAGTTATGTTTGTGGGAAATTTTTTACATTTTGACCGAGAATAATGTTGTGTGTGTGTGCTATTGTATGCATGCATGTATCTATGCATTCACGAATATATGTATGTATTTCATTCCAATGCCAAACGCAGGCCAAGCTTATTTGCCGCCGTGCTGCAAATTTAAATAAAACGAATTTCTACCAAGGGCTCTTCTCCTCGATTCTCAAGAATTCAAGTAGGCTCTGCAATTTTTCACGCTTAGCTAGTAGTAAAGTGATTTTTTTTGGTAATTTTTTATTAATTTATTTTTGCTTTGTTTTTTTTTATGTATGTATGTGGTATTATATTTATGTATGTATGTATGTATATATGTATGTATGTATGTATGTATGTATGTATGTATGTATGTATGTATGTATGTATGTATGTTTGTATGTTTGTATGTATGTATGTATGTATGTATGTTTGTATGTTTGTATGTTTGTATGTTTGTATGTTTGTATGTATGTATGTATGTATGTATGTATATATGTATGTATGTATGTATGTATGTATGTATGTATGTAAATATGTATGTAAGTATGTACACATGTATGTATATATGTATGTACATATGTATGTATATATGTATGTATGTATGTGTGTATGTACATATGTATGTAAGTATGTACATATGTATGTATGTATGTGTGTATGTATGTATGTACGCATGTATGTATGAATGTATGTATGTATGTATGTATGTATGTATGTTTGCATATATACAAAACCAACATGCATATTTGTATGTACAAACAGGCATGTACATACATATGTATGCAAACTTAAATTTCTACTGAAGAAGCTTGGATTTTGCGAAAAGTGTGAAAAACGTCTCCAATGATTTTTCATATAGATCCTTGGAATTTATTTGAGCGCAAAACGTCACCCAAATCTTTGAGACCATTTCCACCAAGGAGGATTGATTTTTCGAAAAGTGTGAAAAGCCCCTCAAGTGTATTTAAACAAAGATCTTTGATTTTTTCACTATTGGGCTACCTCCCCTAATCTCCTCAAAATCAAAAGAACACTTGTTTTAAATGGTATTATACACAAATGGAAAGACCCCGCAAATTTGATAGTGATCGGACTTTAAAGACCGAAGTTATTCAACAAGGCATTCTCTCCTCAGCGAATTTTATAATTTTGCAAGACATATCGTGGTAGTCCTGAAGGACATCGACTTTGTCATTTGATCAGTTTGCATTATATACGATTACCATGCCAACTCATGAGCGGAGTTTGTCTGGCAATTAATGGTTTTTATTGATAATGCTTGCAATTGCACACGAACCCATAATTGTTGGTACTTGTGACCACGTTTGCTGAACAGTCTGAGGCGAAAGGGGAAAATGGGAAAAATCAGTAAACCATATTACTGGCCATCAGTGGCAAATAGTGTGCATGGCCAGCATCGACTTCCTGCCGTAGTCGCAACGGTTCATTTTAATTAAAATTTACAATTAATATTTAATGAGTCGAAGAGCAGCGCCAGGAGCTGCAACCGCCAACCAATACGCTCAGGTTGATGTCCATCAAATTGAATTTCAATAAAGCCACTGCAGGAGCAGCTACCCAGAAGATGTGTGCTGCTGCATTAAATGATGATTTTCTGAAAAGCAATTTCTGTCATGCCGCAGATTAAATACAGTTTGTCGCCCCATCCGATTCACAATGGAAATAGATAGCATTTCTGGTTGCTTTTCGCATGCATTAGAAGGGTGAACATAGTTTAAGATAAAACTCATCAAACCTTTGCGAATGACAGAAAACTGATTATCTGACCTCGTTAAGTGCACTAGCGGCCATAACCCGGCGTTGCCCGGGCTAACTTTCATATACCCTGTTTAGAAAGAGGAGGTTGCATTAATTAATAATTGTTATTGTTATTTCTCCTTACCGAACTAGTATAATGTTAAATAAAGTACATTTAGGTCAATTAAAAAAGTTTAAAGATATTTTAAATTACATTTGAAGACTTCTTTAAATTTCTGTTTGTCTTTTGTCTTACTGCATCTGAGCTTGAAGAAATATTTTCAAAAGATATAAATTAGATATTTAAAAGAACTCTGTTTTAGTTTTTAGATGTACAGACAAGGAAGATTTCTTCTAAGGTCTGTTATTCTATCAGGTGTTCATCCAGTTTTTGAATGATCAAATATAACAAATGCTTTTCTTATATTCTTCTTATGCTATGCTGGAATCAGTTTTGAAGTTCTCGATAGCCTATCGTAATCCGTACCTTCCGATTTATATCTCTTTTGTCTTGCTGACATACGCGATTGCATTTCATCAACCGCATCGTATGAAAAAATTAACATGAAAAACTATTTGCAACTGATAGTTTTTAATTAATTACTTGTATATTCCAGCCCTGTCATAAGTCCAGGTGGTTGTAGTTGAAACATAAAAGAAACATGGCCCGGGCACAGGTGCATTGATAAAAGGAAAACCAAATGTAATTAATTTAAATTTAATTTCTTTTTAATCACAGATATTGCACACACGATGCTTTCAATAACATTTTGCCATCATTTAACATGCAAACAAATTAAACCGCATTAAAAATGTTCCCGGTAATAATCATGACAATAACACCAGCTGTTGGGACCAGAGTCCACGAATGTCGTACATATTGAGCTTTACCATATGATTAATTTCCATTAAGTGCAGATTACAGTAAGGTCAAACTATGGACATTTTCTCTAAGTCTGCAGACTGTTTTCTGTTGAACGCGTTTAAATTAAACCAAGACAAGAAGTTAGAAAGTAAAAAAAAGAGATACTTCCTCAACTTTAACATATTTCATCGCCAAAGGAATAATTAATAATAAACCGATGCTAACAGGAATCATAAAATCCACTTTCGAATTTTGCGATTAATAGGTGCGTTTGTTTTTATGTATTAGCATAAAAATAAAATACATTTTACAGAACAGGCTTATCTTAGGTGACTTTTCAAAAGTCCTGCTTGAGGAGAACGTCGGCCGACCGTTTATCAATCGCAATCTCCAGGCACTTGGCACATCTGCCAGGACGAAGGGAGGTGCCATTCTATCCAGACTGCAGGGGCCCTGCCACGTTTCAGTGTGAAATTGACTGCCTGGAAACTTTGAGGCATTTTGCTAAATATTCCACATGCGTGCCCAGCTGTCGAGCAGGTGCATGTATTCCTGGGCCATATCGATGGCCTTGTGGCCAAACGCAGTGGACGGAGTAGAAGATTGCCAATGCACCGGCAAATGTGGTCAGGAATTTGCCGGAGGAGACGGGCGGCTGGATCAGGTGGTCCGGAATGGGAATGTCCTGGTATGCTGCCTGGCATAGGAAACTGCCTTGGAGGACATCCGTTTCGCGAGTCAGAGATTTCGCTGTGGCTATAAGAGATATGGTCCTGAACTGGCGAGTGTTCCCAGCCGTGTCCGTGGCAAGTCTTTTGTTTCAAATTTTACTTTAGTAAATTTTTTTTTAATTTAGATGTACTGGCTTAGAAAAGATGAGTTAGAAACCCATCGAATTAGAAAACAATAGTTCAAATCGACATTTTCCGCTTTTTAGTCTCATGGTTTGCAGTTAGTAGCCGAATAATAAACTTTCAACCTTTGACTTGGGTGGAGTTTTTAGAAAACTGTGAATCACATATCAAATGACTTTTCATAAAGATCTTTAAAAATAAGTTTCTAAACCGTTTTCCGCCAATTTACCATCGAAACACGTATTCATAAGGTTCTTAAGAAGGGCTTTGAAAATAAGTTTGAGGCTAATCGGACAAACTATAAAACTTTGCTCCAAAAATCGTTGCCTAGGCGATGGATCCGAAACGTCACCCATCAAATTTTTTACCCCCAAAGAGGCCCAAGGGAGATGCACTTTGCGAAATTAATTTTCAAATGAATTTGAAGAAATATCTTTGAAAATGACTAAGACCGTTCGAATGGAAAGGCAAAATGTGACATACAACCGTTTTTCGGTTAAAGAATCGTCATTCAGATTAAACTCACCTCACAAAATCTCTGCGATAAGTTAACGTGAATATACCAAAAACGATTTACAAGCTCTTTATCCGAAGACAATTGATTCCACCCGCAAATGGCAGCGAGTCATTAATAAGTACATCCCGACTTACATGGATGAATCGCTGTAGAACATACTCCACAAAGCTGTCTCGGCTAGATAGGCCCCTGCCGGACCCCTAGCTCCCTCTAACGACGCCTGCAGAAGTTGTCGCGATGAGAAATAGAAAGAGAACATCTCACATTTCTTCTAAGCCAGTCAGCTCTATGCAAACCTATTTCCTTGTAGACCTAACAGATATCTGCAAATAACCAAGCTCATTATGCACTTTATTCGTGCCTCGGGCTGGAGCTCAGTATTCCACATATCGTGCCTTCTGTCGGTCCCAGTGAATCGACTGAAAAACTGCCTTAACCTAGCCTAACCTAAGTATATACATATGTATTTGGATTGTCGTGCTGACTTGCTCAACATGAACACGAACGAATACTCACGAAACTTGAGTCAGTGGTATTTTCATTATTTCTTAGTCATAATCAGCCGCGCCAATAAAAATAAATAAATAAATCGCCTGTGCAAATAAATTAAATTATCAGAAGCCGTCGATCGCACAAAGAAATTATTGTTTGAGTGAAGCGTAGCCTAAAGCAATAGCAAACTCTAGAATTGAGTCAAAAAATCACTCTAAGGGTGATTTCAAAGTAATGTTAAATCCGGAACGTTCGGAATTGGAATCGTTTATCTCAGTCAGTTGAGTTGAGTCAGTCGTCGGCCACCTGCTACCCACCAGCACGACATAGTTATATTAACTAAACATTAACTTAAAAAAAGCAAATACAGCTGTCTTCACCATTCCGATGATTAAATACCCTTGACCTAGAGTAGTTATTTGATACAGTATGATGAAACATATTTTAGCTGATCTTGGCTAAATCATCGTGAACAACAAATAATTTTCATACACTCACAACATTTTTTTTTTGCTATAGCAGCTATATGATATAGAAGTCCGACGCTGATTAGAAGAAACTTATCTTACGCCATGAAGAACTTAGTTTCTTTCTAATGATCTGCATTTTATACCTTACCTTGTAATTGCAGTTGTTTTTTTTACTATTTTATTTTATAACATATTCATACGGCTAAGGCTCGAGCTAGGCTCACAAAATCATATTGGCAACGCGTTCCACAATGAATTCTCTAAAAAAGATATTTAAATAAAACACATTTATAATACAATGCGTTTTCTCGCATTTTCCGACATTTCTAATAGATTTCCAAAGCGACGTAATTCGAAGAGTCCGGATCGGATAAAAAACCACGTCTAAGCGTGCACTTGCATTACATACATATGCACATACATACATTACATACATATGTACGTTGATCATCATTCAGTCATTCAGCACATACTGACGCAGACACATATATACATATAGTACATACATACGTATGTCAATTGACAAAAATGTGGATAAGGAAAAAGCGCTTTTAGAATATGATTTAAATCGCAAAGTACTTTCGGTTTGTTCACCTCTATTTATCATCATATCGCACATAGCGGAAAAGGCAATAAATGCAAACAAAGCAAACGAGAGCAATGTCAAGCGACCGAAATAGCTCTCCCGCTCTCTCTCTCTCTCTCTCTCTCTCTCTCACTCTCTCTCTCTCTGCACGAACAAAATCATTTAAGGGTAATTTTATTTTCTTTATTTTAAATTAGATTACAATAAGAACTCGGTAATGCGAATTTAACAGTTTTAAGTGAACGTTTCTCGATGATCAGGTTTTATTGTATCTTGGCGGGTATTTCGACGCACACGATATCCACACTGTTCTGGTCCTGCAGCTCCCATTTGACGAGCACCGAGACCTTTGGGTAGCTCTTCAGCACGGGCAGCGTAGCTGTATATCTATAGGCCTCATTCTTTTCTAACGGACATTTAAGGCCGCTGTTAAGGCATGCATTTGGATTGTTTAGCGGAAAGGGCATTTCTATGCCCAAAATCTTGCCATGGACCACCGTTTTTACCGCTGAGGCCGTTTCGGCCAATGCAAAATCTATTGTTATTGACACATTCGTATTTCTTCGTAGCACACACTCCGCCTTTGTGGTATCGCAGCCCTCGATGGTGACTTGAGTGAATTTGCCAGTCTTTGAGCCGCAATCTTGGAACTCGAGAGCTTTTCCAAGCTGCATCGCCAAAAGCAGCGACGAGATAAGTACGCACAACTTGAACATGTCGCTTATTTTGTTTAATTCAATTAAAAGATCAGGCGATAAGCCACTGAACGTAGTAGACTTGTATATTTTTCTCGACAATGCCTTAGCTACAACTGAAATATGGAAAGAACGAAACAGAGGCAAAAGCCAAAATCAGCTGCGCGCCTCACGCAGATGGCAGCTTTTCCATCGATACATATCGCAGCCGATTGGCATGAAAGCTTTTTGGTTCACCTCTGTTAATTTAACAGACCTCCACTTGAACTATAGCATTCTAATAGGTAATGTCAATTCTGCTTATTAGAGCCTAATAAGAAAATTTACTGTACTACCAAAATTTTATAAATTATTTTTGAAATTTTCTCAATGTAACAGTCGCACAAATATTTCGCTGTCGCTCACCACAGTTTCAACATTTGTGTTTATATCTTTTCGATGTTGTTTTTTCATTCTTGCACATCACTAGTAAAAAGCTTCTGCTAATGTTTCCAGTTGGCATCTCTTGGTTAGATTCACTTTAGCCGCAGTCGACGCAGCATTTTGGCGGCATTTAAGTTATTTCCATTAAATACTACTTCCAAACATTTTTAAACATGTCGCAGATTTGTAAACGAAGCTTGTTGACGGCAAACCGAGTCCTCATTAATGCACCAGCAGTTTTACGTTGCAAGTAAGTCTTTATCTTCGTTGTGTTCGCTGTTGTTGTTGTTGTTGTTTTTGCGCCCCATTACACGTCAGAATGCGATGCAGTGTCATTTGCCAAGGTCATCTCAAATGCCGGTCTATGCGTTCTACATGCCAGTGTGTGTGTGTGATTGTTGCCTGTGTGTGCGTGCCCGCTGGATTATTTAGTGTTTGTTTGCCTCGAATTTATATTATGTCACATACGTATATAGATATGTCTGTACATATCCATGTATATGGGTGATGCAAACGACAATATGACACGCAACCATCTATATATATGTATGTATTTAAACATTACAACTTTACATACATATTTATTTTTATACATATAGATAGATGTTAAAAAGTCTACTTATGTATGTGTTGTATGTGAAAACTAAAATATTCTCCAGAGTGTTTTATCTCTGCGTTATAAAAATGTGTGTACGTATGTATGTACATGTGTATGTATATTTGTATGTACATTATGTATAAATATATACATACGTTTTATTGTTTATATTATCATAATGCAGGCTTTCCCTGCATTTGTAGGCACAATTGCCACATGTACAAATGTTCCAAAAAAGGTACTTAATGAAATGGTACACTTATCACAAGATAATACCTTGCTTTTAAACAACACTTTGTTTCAAAATAATTGTTTTTCTTGGTATTTTTCATAATGCTCATGAATAAAAAGTTAAGTAAGAAATATTTTGATACTTAGAACTACAATACATCCACAAAAAGAACATTTAAAGCGTTATTGCTATGCGTATTTTTAAAAAGGTACTTCATTAATATCCTTTGTATTAATACCCTATGCGTATTTTAAAAAGGTATGTATATAGATGTAATACAGTTAGTACATTTTCCTGTTATTTTCTTATGCAAAATACATTTTTCCAAGTGGCAACCGTGTTTCTAGGTACTCGCAAATGTTGGTACATTCGCGTTTAGGCGAATATTAACGCTAATTTGTATATCGATAATAAAGGCGTTGACGAGATATTTTAAGTGAACGATTATATTATCTATGTTATTTCGTACATATCACATATTCTTAAGTAGGTACAATGGCACATGCCGTCTTTTCTTACGATATTCATTTCCCATTAGAAAAATCGGTATTCGAAATCGGGAAAATAAAAATATATCAATCCACCTATATTCCGTTTATATTCTTTAGGCATCAAAATTTGTCTTCAAATATTATCAAACAATTTATTTTATCCATTACTAGGCGCAACTTTGTTTTCATTGAATTTGATTTGAATTTCATACTCAGAAAGCCCGTTTCGTAAATAAATAAATACGCGGCTAATTAATATGATATAAATAAAAAAAAAAAACAAGTTTAATACGAAGAGGGAAATCAATCCCTTATCTCTAGGCTGAAATAGGTAGAGGCTTGTGTCAATGCCATTAATCTGAGATGAACAATAATAAGGCTTGTTTACACCAAAGTGCGATAAGCGAAATGTGCAACTCGGTAAAGTCGACAGCCTAGAGGGATTTGAAAGGTCACAAATATTATTTACCCATACTTGACTTGCAAACTCAACCGTTTTAAGGTATCGCATTGTTTTTGCTTGGCTTTTTTTTTACTAATTAAACTTTTTTTCGGTGAAGTGGAATAGGTAAGATAATTTATTAATTCGTCGATAAGTTCAGGAAACGGCCGTCTGTGAAAATCGAGAGTGCAAATAAAATTACCCTGGGGGCAATGAACAACCAGAAATATAATCTTCCCGAATGCCGAAGATTAAATGCCCTGCCATAATTTTGTGGCATATTTAGCATTGTGTTAATGATATCGAATTCTGATATTAAGATGAAAGTTAGAGTCAACAAAAACTGGAATACAAAGTTTCTATCCCGGCATAGAGTTTTGATCTTACATTCCTATTCTGCTGTTCATGTATAATAATTTACAATTTGTATTTTTTTAAATGTTAGATCAACATGGTTCTCCGACGTGAAAATGGGTCCACCGGATGCCATTTTGGGTGTTACGGAGGCCTTCAAGAAGGACACAAATCCCAAGAAGATCAATCTGGGAGCCGGTGCCTATCGTGACGACAACACAAAACCCTTTGTGCTGCCCAGCGTGCGTGAGGTGAGTGTTGGAATTTTTGCATTTTCAAGTAAAAAGTTAATTGTCATCTGTCGGCTGTCAGGCCGAGAAACGTCTGGTGGGTCGCTCCCTGGACAAGGAGTATGCCACAATCATTGGTCTGCCCGATTTCTACAACAAGGCGATCGAGCTGGCGTTGGGCGAGCAATCACAGCGCCTGAAGGCCAAGCACAATGCCACAACACAGGCGATCAGCGGGACTGGCGCGTTACGTGTGGGCGGTGCCTTTTTGAGCAAGTTCTGGCAGGGAAATCGGGAGATCTACCTGCCGACGCCATCGTGGGGTAACCACGTGCCCATTTTCGAGCATTCCGGTCTGCCGGTTAAGCGCTATCGCTACTACAACCCAAAGAACTGCAATCTGGACTTTGGCGGTATGATTGAGGACTTGAAGGTAAGGGATGAAAGCAGCCCATTCTGTTTTTATTCAAATTATTTATTCTTTAACAGAAAATCCCTGAAACGTCGATTGTGCTGCTGCATGCATGCGCCCACAATCCAACGGGCGTCGATCCCAGCACAGAGCAATGGCGTGAACTCTCGCAGCTCTTCAAACAGCGCAACCTTTATCCATTCTTTGACATGGCCTATCAGGGCTTTGCTACTGGCAATGTAGACGGCGATGCTCAGGCTGTGCGCATTTTTGAGGCAGATGGACACGACTTCTGCCTGGCGCAAAGCTTCGCCAAGAACATGGGTCTGTACGGCGAGCGTGCCGGCGCCTACTCCGTCATCTGTGCCGATGAGCAGGAGGCAGCGCGCGTTCTATCACAGATCAAGATCCTTATTCGCGCTCTATACTCCAATCCCCCAATTCATGGTGCTCGCATCGCAGCCGAGATTCTCAATAGCGCTGACTTACGCAGCCAATGGCTAAAGGATGTTAAAGGAATGGCAGATCGAATTATCGACGTGCGCTCAAAACTGAAGAGCAATCTCGAAAAACTCGGCTCCACGCACAACTGGGAGCATATTGTCGACCAGATTGGCATGTTCTGCTTTACAGGCCTCACGCCGGAGCAAGTTGACAGCCTGACCAAAAATCACAGCGTCTACCTTACGAAGGATGGTCGCATTTCCATGGCTGGCGTAACAAGCAAGAACGTCGAGTACCTGGCCGAGAGCATACATAAGGTGACCAAATAAATCATGCTAGTGGATAGATCGTTACGAAGCCCCTTTTATCTGCTTTTTTACGCATTTATAGCAACTTCTTGCAGTTAATTAGTTACAAAAATTGCCTTACACACCTATCCTGTACATACGACGAATATCTGCCTTTGAAATAAAGCATTTTATAGTTTATTTAGCTGTCTCCACAAGTTACTCACACATGTAAATTTCGTTCATGACAACTCATAGAATATTTATGCACGGTCGAAACAGTTGTTTTTCTTGTAGGTGTCGGCCGAATCAAATATAAATATAATCAAATAGCTGCTATTGATACGATCGGTTGATAAGGCAGTTATATTTCTAGTATTAAAATATATTTTAATTTTGAGGCACAATCTATTTTTTACCCCTGATGATAAACGTCTACACCAAGCGTTCGACAACGAAGTCACACACTCGAAAATTTAACAAAGGTTTTCTCGCAATCCTAGAACCAGTAGGTTCTTGAAACAACATTCTCAACAAGATCGAGGAATACTTTACTTTTAGTTTTTCTACTCTTAAATTAAATTATCGACTAGGTTTAAGTCAAAAGCTATATCTGGTTACATTGTTTTTACTGTAACCTGACTTTCAAAATTCTGCTCCTTGTGGTAGTGAAATTTACACGGACAGATATTAAATAGAATTGGAACAATGTACGTCCTGTTTTCGAGCTACAGTTTGAAAGCTCTAGACATACTAAGCTACTCTCCTACAATCCTTTTCACCTGTTTTTAACTCATCTCACTTTAAATAGAGCTTTACGTAGTCGCTTTTACCCGACTGCAACGATTTCGCATAAACTTATAAGCTGAATTTCTTTTGATGAGTAATGCGCAACGTAGTTTGTAAAATCGACAAGTATATTTAGTTCTTAGACTTATCATCTTTACCCACGATATTTTGGCATCCTTTGTTTCTAATTTAATGTTTACCTTGGGATTTAGTTGATGGTTATTTAAATGCCTACTCGATTTATAGTCAGCTTAATGGGAATATAAGCTAGCTTGTCCATTTTCATTTATAGAATTCAGTTGTCATTCGCGGGATTATTACTCAGAAAATAATTGCTCGTTGTTTAATTGCCATTATAAAAATGTTAATTAAAATGTACATACAAAACTTACATTAGCTTGCAAAACATCTTAATTATCTGATTCAGCCCGTTTTCCAATTCTCGCTTATTAATCTATATTCATATATTTAAATTTTGATCTAACTACTGTATAGCACATTTTCTTTAAAGTCAACTGTCATTTTTATAATTCATTTAATTCATTTTTATAAAGTTTCGATAAACATGTCTGGCATTTATTCTTAAAAACTCAGCATTTGGTTTAAAGTTTTTTTTTTACTAGTAGCTTCTTCTGTCTGTCCAATTTGATTGTTTTTGTATGTATGTTTAATTTGTATGTATATAAAACTAGAATCACGGTTTGTTATAACGATACCTTAACTTATCGCTTGGCTCACAGTACTCCTTGATAATAAGCTTACATAGGAATATATGAAATACTACGATTATTGCACAGACTGAGACCCAGAAGAGTGCGGGCAAGCCGCCCAGTTGATGACCATGCTTATGCAGGGCGATTACGTGCTGCTCGTGCGCCGGAGCTAAAGATTCAATTTAATTATTAATTGATAAAATATGTGGAATCAGAAAGAGCAGCTTACCCTCAACGACTTCCTTCACGTGTATTGCATGATGGATTTCCTCCATGTGTTGTTTGTCCTCGGTTATATATAATATTGCAGTCAATGGTTCAGTCAATTTGACAGGAAATTCTCGACGGTTTTGACTGTAAAAAGTGATGAGATACATTAAATTGTAACAATGAAAATGTATCTGCATTCGCTATTTACGTCAACAAGATTGGTTCATCCAGACAGCCGCCATCGCAAGCATAGTAACTGCGATCGGAACGATCCAGAGCCACATTAATTACCGCTTTGTTGTCGTCCTTAACAATGATTGTGACATTGACATGCGTCTTGTTTCCGTAGTTGAGGCGCCTAAAGTGAAAGTCGCGATGCAAAAATTTAGGATGCATGTTGCATTCCAGATGCTGATTGCTAAAACGAAAGCTACCAAAGCTGAGCGTCATTGCCTGAATGACGCCCGAGGCGCCGGCGCGTATCAGATTGTGACAGCCTTGCTTCTCTAATGTGAGCATCCAGGAGGATACAAGCGAATTGAGTTGCGTTAGCGTTGACATGCCACGCCAAAGATTCTCCGCCTGAAGCGTATGATACGAATCGTAGCAGCCCTCCGCATAAGTCAACGCTTTGGCAATGTCCTCTCGTATGCCTGCAGAGCCAGTGCCTGAGCTCCCAAACGTACCGGAAACCGTATCTTCAAATTCAAAACTGCGCACTTGAGAGAGCACAGCATACATAGTGGCATTTATCCGATCACCATTTAAACTGTTTTCAGCCTTGGAGGTACTTATCGTAAAGCCAGTTGCCCAAAGATCTGTCCATACATTGATGTGATCCTGGCGGAATGTATTGATGCTGTTTAGCGATCCGGATCCGGATGCCTTGGCACTGAGCTTCTGCAGCAGCTTTGTCATGGTCTGAATGGAATGCTGCTCGATGGTCCCTATGGTAGCTATCACTTGTGTCTCGGCTACCGGTTTGGAGTACTCGATGATCATTGGGTAAATTATGTGCACGGTGCCGCGCTTGCGCAGCTGTATTTTTGGCTCCAGTTGTGGTTTTGAAATACTAATCACAATCAATTTGCTCGGATCATCCGCTGTGGGCTGCACAGTTGCTGTAATAACTTCCACTGCACTATATGTGAGCATGCCTATTTGCGCTGGATCGCTGTAATAGGCCGATTGAGTTAAAGATGCCAGGTGAGTTGCGTACCCGGACTTACCTGAGCGGAATGCTACGCACAGTCGACTTCGGTAGACGATTTCGTGGCATTATAAGATCAATGCTTTCAACCGTATTCCGTGTATTAGTTATTTGAAGCTCTTGCATCAAAACATTGGGCTGCGTGCGATGTGCATACAGCGTGTAAGACGCAAAGTACCCGGCAAAGCATTGGAATCGATGTACCATTCCCGTCAGATATTCAACAACAGTGGCCTCCTTCTCACCGGCAACGCCCCCGTTCTGTGAGACAGACATTACCGGATGGAAGCGTATGGGCAGCTGCATCGCACGGCCATGCTTGATATTCAATGATGCATCATGGGCGACCTCAATGCCAATGTATCCGTTGCCCACATAGGGCGTGTAGTCGCGCTCACCGGGCATCAGTGGGGCCACGTGACGTATGTTGGCGTCATACTCGTAGTTCTGCAATATATAGGGCGTGAGACGGTCGTCCATGCACATGCTGTGCGGATCTAAGAGATCACGGTTACGTTTACGGTAATAATTGATGACAAAAGTGCGAGCGACAGATACGTTACCTTTCTGTTCTGTTGGGCTTAGAAATAAATAACGAAAGATTGGTGGTAACATATAAAAAACTATGCACACACACAATAAAAGCAAAAACAAACGCCTGTAAGACGAGAGGGTGCCTTCGACTAGACGCTTTAGCCTGCGCACAACATCCACGGTCTCGAATTTGTTTTTGGCTGATCGGATAAACATATTAATTGCGTTTTATTCATTTAATTCGCATTGGGATAGACTTTTGAAAATTCTAGTGCTTGGCCACAAGTTGTGGCCAAACTCAGAAATATATCATTACTCTTATATGAAATCGATACATCGATATCTAAGAACTATCGTGTTTTTGAGTAATAGTGGTATTCCTTAAACTAGTACATGCTTAAGGACCAATAATTATTTCTGAATCAGATATGAGCTATTTTTTTCAGTTTATACAATAAAAATTAATATTATTATTTTTTGTTTGTGATTTTGAAGCAGTGGTCGAAACATTTGTAAAAGCGATACCTACGGACGGAAAAGAGGGCTCTCATATTTACAGACTTGAAATATCCCAAACGCAGAATTTTGCTGCATTAATTATAGCCTGGTGTAAATTTGTTTTGGGTATTGTACAGATTTATGTTGTTTCAAATATAACTTTGATAATTTTTCACGATAATGCCCGTCTTTTACTCGAATGACATGCAATTAAAAGCTGGAGATATTCAAAATATAAAAAATTAACTTGTTGTATGTGTCGAGCTTACATCAAGAACGGTATTTCTTTTACAAAGCCCATGAGATTGGTGCGTCTTCCAAATAATCAAACTAGAAAAAATGTATAAAGATTAATATTAAATACAAAATGTTTTGAAAATATAAAATTTATGTTCCAAATGTTCTGGTTAAATATTTTTATTTTTCACCTTAATAATAGAAATACATATACGTTACATAAGTCAAGCAATAGTGTCATCCTTTTCTACCTTTCGATCTTCCCGCTTTTTTGTTTTTAAGAATTATCGATCGCGAATTTTTTGTACAAAAACATCGATATTTCAATGACCACCTCTAGATTGTTTTTTTTTATTTTTGTTTATTGGTCGAAAATGTGTAACAAAAAATCCGATTCGTGGTTTAGAAAGTATTTTAAAAAAAGATTTATTTTTTTCCCATTGGCTTTTTTAACCTTGTGCCTTTTTATAAAATACTCGTTAAAAACTGAAAACGATCACAATGATTCGTCTATATCTGAATGCCTATTTTGTGGCATTGCCAACGGTAGAATAACACCTCCAAAGCTAGAATTTGAAAACGATGAATATGTGATATTTAAGGATAAAAAACCTGCTGCTACGTATCATTATTTGGCCATTCCCAAACAACATTATGACAGCCTCAAGGTGCTAAATAAATCCCACGTGGGCCTAGGTGAGTTTGGGTAAGCTTATTTGCATAGTTTGATTGTATTTATGTTGTTTGATTGTATTTATGCTTTTGTTTATTTTTATGGTGCTTTGTTCTTCAGTTGAGCGCATGCAGAATGGTATGCTCCAGTTTCTTGCATCAAAAGATGTAGATATATCAAAGGCAGTGATCGGTTTTCATATTCCACCGTTTATTTCGCAAAAGCATTTGCATCTACATGGGATCTCACCTGTTACGGAAATAGGCTTTTTCGATCGGATGAGTTTTATGATCCCGTCATTTTGGTTTAAATCGGTAAGCAAAAAAATATATTTTGTTTTTTAAATCATATTTATGTAAAATAATTTATTATTTTATGCAGGCCAATAACGCGATTGAATCTTTACAACGCGCTGAACTATGATGGAGATGACTCGAGTTCTTTTTTCGTACCTATCCGATCACCTGAAAATATCTATTCGAGTTGAGTATGTTTATTAATATGATGATTACACAATAACCATTTAAACATGGTATACAGCCAAGAGTATTAATCAATACTCTTATAAATAGTGAAATTTTTAAAGTTAATAAAAAGAAGCTTTTTTTATTTAAAAACTACGTGTTGCTAATATAGCTGATCAGTCTTTATGAGATTATGTCGTGATTTTGTTTTGAATAATATAAGGAAACAAAACCAATTCCCCACCAATCGGTGATGGGTTGTTTATGTTTTAAACAAGAATCGAAAAATTTTAATTTTTTAACTTTACGTCGTGGCATCTGCCACGAAATTCGACAAAGGTGTGCTAAGCCAAAAAGTATCGATAGCTATGAACCGCTCTTACGACAGTGATGTGAATGTCATACATAATATCGATAGTGCAATCGATTGCCTTGCAACACTAAAATCAGCACCAGCAAACGCTGAGTTTTAGTTTGTTTTAGTTACAAGATTCGCGAAAACCATTTGGGAAAATTGCTAAATTAAGCTGCAAATTAACGGATTGGAGCGCATCAAACGTAGTGCGTTCTAAACTATGCGCAGCATGTGGCCGCAAACGCTGGAAATGTCCCGCGACGAATGTCGGGGCATGCTGCGTCGACTTGGTAGGTGATATTCTGCTGCCGCCACCGCCAGAAGGAAGCACTTAATGTTATACAGCAGCAGCCCAGCTTCAGTGGATCTCGATTTTCGGCTAATTGGTGTCCATTTATTTGTATCGTTCAAGCAGAGTTAGAATCGTATTCGCATGTAATAAGCGTTTTTCGCGCCCAAGGCTCGCTCAGCGAACCAAAAGCCAAGCTGCTCGAGGAGTTGCGCCAACTGTTTCACATAACACAGGAACGCCACCGTGCGGAAGTGCGACGCGCTGCCAACGATGAGCAATTATGCACTATTGCCGAGAAGTAAGAGCTTATATTGAGTTGAGTGTTGAATATTGGAGTGCATATGTGACCGTTTCTCGCATTTTCAGCGTCTGCGGCCCAAACACATGGCAGGAATGGTCACGTGAAGGTCGTCGCCCATATCCGCTGCTGCCACGCATTTGTCCGCAAACGGCTCTGAGCATTGTTGCCAACGATCTGGCCGCGAAGGCTTATGCGGAAAATAGCAAACTGGCTCCGCCAAATGAAACTGGGGCAAACCTAAGCGAAGCTCTGCTAGAACAGGCGACCTATCAGACTCTTAAGCATGGCATAACAAAACATCAGGAGCCCCTTGTCATCATGGATGAGCCGGTAAGTGCCCCAGCATTATATAACGCATTTATTTTGACCTGACCATTAACATATACGTACATACATATGTGCGAAAACGTATGGACATAGAAAGTACAGTCTGCGCCTGGGTCGTTTGCTCTAAAAGTGGGCTGCGCGGTAGCGCAATGCGACTAAATCAAGGTTATCTTCAGGGGGCTTGATTAGTGTTTTTTTAAAGATCTCCGCGCGTTTATAGAGAGAGAGGAGAGAGGTATTTACTTTTGGTAGTCAACTGATCTATTTCAAAATGCAGGCGTTTAGCAGATTTAGTAAAAGATAGTTATTTGAATAATTAGTGTTGACCGCATTGTGGAACGCCTATCAATTTGTACATTATTAATTTGTATTAGTGCCAAATGTCGCTTTTTGGATGTTGTGCACTTAATTAAATTTGATTGAATTCTGCCAGTGTCAGTTAACAGCAGAAGTAAACTGTTAACTTACATTAACAGGCAGCTGATTGTTACAGACCTAAATGTTACAATCGATAATTAATAAATATCGATCAAAAGCCGAATTATCAGAAAAAAGCCCACATAAAAACTGCAATTTTTGAAAAGTTAATAATGCAGGGTTTTTTTTTTCAAAATGGGCGCATTTTATGAACATCTAAATTAATACACTTTAATTTGCTTCGGTTAATTTGTTTTGTCAGTTATATTTTTGTATATATACTGTATATAAAAAACTTAAAAATGTTGAAAACGTAGTTTTCCTATATCTGAACAATTCAAATCTGGTATAAAAAAGCGACACGTGGCTGTAGCCTATGCAGGCGATATGGTAATCCTAACCCACAATGCGCTCAACATCCGTCTGAATTCAAGTACAAATGCGAGCTACCAGACATGACCCTACCAATCACTTATCCTTTATGATTATAGTTTAAGGTGCCCGACTTGCCAAATGAAATAAAAAAGGCAACATTGAAGCGGAAGGAGAACGAAACCGGCGACACGAAACCTAACAAAAAGCGTAATACACAACACGACAGGCAGCTAGGACAGCCGCAGCAGTCGGCGTCTCAGCAAAGCGGCGGCAAGGACGAAGATGGTCAAATGGCGCCGCTGGAACAGCGCCCCAGCGCCCGTACCCTGCAGCAGCGTTACTTTTACCAGCAGCAGCAGAAACACAAGCAGCGGGTGGCAAGCAAAAAGGGCGCAGGCAATGCGGTGGCCAATAATAGCGGCGTTTCAGGCGTCGGCGTTAACACGAAGCCAGCGAAGAGCGGAAGGCGGCGAGCACAAAAACAGCTCCAACAGCAGATGCAGCAGAAGCAGCAACAGCAGCAGCAGCAGCAGCAGCAAGAACAAGAGCAACAGCAGCAGCAGCAACAACAACAGCAACAACAAAAAGTATTATTGTCAGCGCCGCCAGCGGCCGAGCTGGCAGCGCACCCAAATGCCAATCACCTGGTGCAGCCACACGTGGAATACATACTCGACGAAGCGCTTAAATCGGTGGCGGCCACCAAGTTGAAAACGATACCTGCGGCACGTGTTGTCTATGGTCCGCCGGAAATGCTTTCGCCAACGACGCCTCGTGCGTTCGTAAACTCGCCTGTTGTTTTCAAGGAGAAATTGTCCCCCACGCCGCAGTCGCTTCAGCAGCAGCCGAATCAGCAGCAGCCACAGTTGAGCACGCCCGTTAAAAAATACATTGTAGAGGAGCGCCAGCCGGTTGTTATAGGGACACAGGCGACGTCTGCTAATATCTCAACGGCCAACCTGCCTCTTGCCCCGCAAATAATAAGCGTGCAGCAGATAGCGGCGCCCCCGAAAGTACGGACAACAAGCAGCGCCATTTTGCCAGCTGGGACGAAGCTGACGCCCAAGAAGATCAATTTGATCGACAAGCAGCAGCTGCCTTCCGTGCCGAACACAGCCGTGCGTCTTTTGCCCTACGACCAGCAGCCTGGTTCAATCCCAGCGACAGCCATTGCCAATCAAGGCACCAGCAAGCCACCGGCCACGGCAGCTGTGCAGAAGTACATTGTGGAGGATCGAGTGCCCAGTCAGAGTCAGAATCAGACCCAGAGTATAGCCACGCCTCTAAGCAGCGCCTCTGCTGTAAATATTATAAAAAATATACCGGCTAGCAGCCTGAACAACACGCTGATCACGCCCTTGAGCAGCTCGGTGACGACCGGAACGCCTCTGTTTCGCAAGGCGTCGGCTACGACAACCAGCACGACGGCCGGCAGTGGTTCACCCTCGACGACACAGATACTGGGAAATATTAAGCTGACAAGCGCCAGCGCAATCAAGCATGTGCCCAGCAGCGCACTGCGCAACATCAAAATCTGCTCGCCCAATGGCAAGGTGTTCCTTCAGCCCGCCAAGCTACACACCGGCAGCATTATACATAAACTCAACACTGCGAATGTCACCGCAGTGGCCGCTTCCGGCGCAGCTGGCGTCACAGTGAGCAGTGCCGCACTTTCGCCCACGGGCGGTGGCACGCCGTCTTCCCCACAATCAACACAGCAGCGAATTAAGATACAAGGCATGCATCTTCTGACGCCCAGTCAAGTGATCTCGAGCGCCGCGGGCGGCACAAGCAGCGTGAGCGTAGTCTCCAGTTCCAGCATCGCTGGTAGCGGCGCCAAGGTCAAGCCCACAACTCTAACCCTGGGCCCGGCTGGCGTTGGCAAGAATAATTTGGTGTTCTTACCAACGAGCGGAATGCGAGCAGTTACCCTGGCCTCCAGTAAACCCAAGTCCAGTGCCGAGCTGCTGGCAGCCAAGCCCAATGTGCTCGTCATAGGTCCATCGACTTCCGCCAATGCGGCCAGCAATGCTCAGACAACGGTTGCAACTGCGTCCGCATTGGGCAAGACTAAGGCGCATCAGCTTATAACGGAGGACACGCCCATCGATATCATCAACATGCCCATCATTGTGGCGGATAATGGCACGACAGAACCGAAAACAGCAAACGTCAAGTCAGCACCGATGGTTGTGCTCAATGCAACCGACTGGGAAATGGAGCTGGACCAGGCTTCTAAGGCGGCGGCCGTCACAAACGCACCCACAACAACATTTACTAATGATGCAAAAAGCAAGCAACCGTTGGATGATGTCATTGTAGAGGATATTGGGGAGGAGATGCAAGTTACAAACACGCAGCTTAAAAATCGCAGTAAGTATCCAAATTGTTAGCAACCGGTCATATATTGATTGATGCTCTATATTTTAGTAATTGAAATGCACGACGATGTCGACAGTGCCATTGAGTACGTGGACATGGAATTGGAGCAGCCCATTGAGATCGAGTGTACCAGTAACATATCGCCGGAGACACCGACCGGCAACAGCACAACCGCCACGTCGCTTAAAGCCACCATTTTGCCACCTCTGTCCGAAGCGGAGGAGAAGAAAAAGCTGGATCAGACAACAACAGGGGAATCGGTCGCAGCGCTAACGACAACGATGGCAGCGAAAACCTCGACGCTGCCGTAGGCAGATGTGATGAGTTAGTTAGAATATACCATGTGGATTTTCTTTTGCTGATCCGAAGCGGAACGCACAAACAAACAGCAGACATGTACACACACACACACACACGCAAACAGCCCGGTTTAATTTAGATTGAGTTATTAGTTTAGTACCAAGTTCTTTAAGCAAAGTGCAACATTATGATAATTTGTAAATGTATATGAAAATAGCTTGAATATCGATTATATAATTTAAAACGAAATCGAAATTTTCGAATCTTGTTTTACGCAGTGGTAACAAAATTAATTTATCTTCTCCAAGCTGCCACCATCGAAATATCATAATATTTGTATACATTGTAAATAGCATATCTTTCATTTAGTTTAGTTTTATAAGTTCATAACGCATACTGCAAAAAGGAGAACAGAACATCAAATCAATAAGTAAAAGTGTTTTCAATGAGATTATAGTTTTTAGTCTATTAGTTATTCCCTAAATCTAAATATGGCCGATCTGATTACAAAATTGTAAATACTTGAGCAAAACAATTGAAGAATTTTTAAAATGCTAAAAGCCATACAATTCATGTATATGTATCATGTAAAGAGCAGTAGAGATAAGCTACAAGGACAAAGTTTAAAAGAAGTAAATCCTACACATCCACACACGCATAAATATATTCATACATTTATCATAACGTACTAGCAGTGTAGCTGTTAAGTATTTTATGCATCGATTTTGTAAATCTAAAACATAAACAATGTAATTTTTAGACAAAACAAAATGCGCAATCGAAGCGAACCACCCAGAGGTAAACACAATGTAATTATACAAATACTATTGTTGAGCAATGCGTGCAGCTATAAAATTTTTAACATAGAAATTTTAAATGAAATAAATGTAAATGTAAGCATAATAAATCTTTGATTTCAAATGTTTATGCTCCATTATCCGATACTATAAGGACAATCAGTCAAAAAGCGAAACAGTTGTGTGGTTAAGTTGAAAACAGTTCAAATGTTAAAATTAGGAGGCTTCTCCGATGTTACATATGTAGAAATATATTCATATATATAGATATATATATTCTTAATCAGCGCCGACAGCCGATTCGACTCTTTGTCCAGCTGTGTGAAGTCTGTTTTCACAAACACAAGTTAAGCTCCTCCCATTTCATTAATATCGATTTATATATATATATATATAGATATATATATTTTTTTTATTCTCAGAGAATATATAAGCTAGAGAGAGTATGGAAATTTCCCACGAGTAAACATAGGTTGTGAATATTTAACTGCCCGCAAAATGTAAACACAACTTGTCAGGTATAATTTACGTTAGCTCGGAGCGGAGCACTGTGCTTCTGCTGGCTTTCACTATAAAACAAACCTGAATGCCCAACAAAATGAATTGTTTCATCAGAAATCGGCAAAAATATGACTAAGGGGTTCTTGGATGTTAATAATCAGATTAACGAACCGAAAAAACAAGCATTGGTTCTTGACGTGAAGCGAAACAACGTCCAACGTATTAGGACAATATTTTCTTTCCTTTTAAAGCTCATTCTTCCAAGTTAGCTAAATGAGAATTAAGTGAATTTGTAGCTTCACTTTCAGCTATACTAGCTGCCAACTTCCGCTTCAATTAAATTACTTTTCAAGAATCATTGAGATTCGAAAAAGAGTTAACTGCTGGGAACCTCTAAGTGTATCTAAATTTAGCTGGAAAATAAATAGTTTGTAGGCCATCTCCAACCAGTTGCATTACTTATAAAAAATAGAGTCTGCTTTGCTGGAATCCAATCAGTTGCAATAGTAAAATGAAATATCAATGAAATTTAGCTACAAAATGCTTAGCGCCATTCTAGACTCCATATAGTATATATCTCCCTGATTATACTCGGGCCAAGTCTAGTCGGAAGTTAAAATTGATATGTATAAAAAGTTCATATGTATGTAAAGTTGACTAGACTGATTATTCCGAATTTGTCGCTATTTGTACCCTGTAGTTAATTAGCTTGCTTAAGTATAAGGAAGAAAGTCGAAACCTATTCAGAATTTTGTATCCTGGGTGTATATTTGTAGAAATATCCATTGTTATTTGTTAACCAACCCGCCGCTTAACATTTTTTACTTAATGACGTTCTACATTCAAAAAAAGATACTAAACTCAAAGTAAAGATAATGAGTTTTGAAGGTTGATCGAGATAGGTTGCGATCCAGTACAGTTGTTAGTGTAGAAAAAGATAGCACGTAAACTAAACTTAATTAAGGTTTCTAATTGCGTCCTAAGGCCATGCCGCGACCCCAGGCTGAGTTGGCCGATTGGCGTGGAGGCGGCGCTCTGCTCTCCGGCGGTACACCGAAGCCGCTAATGCCGCCGGAGATATCGGGAGCAAAGCGTTTCCTGTGGAATAGGAAAAGCGACTCACATTAGATTTTGCTGCTGTCGATGTGGATTTGGGAATGGATACTCACAGAAATGCGGGCGTCTCCAGAAATGCATTGCCGCCAAGCTCCTGTGGGTATTGGAATTTTAAGAAGTAGTAGACGTGTCCATTGAAAATGCCAACCAGGGAGGCCAAGGAGCCATGGAAAACCAGCTCGATGCCCGCCAGCACCCAAGGCAGATACATGGCCTTAAACCGGCTGCCAAACCAAAAGCTAACGATAACTTCCTTGTTCAGCTGACACCAAATATAGGTTATGGCAACGACCAGCATGTCCATCAAGAAGTACACATTGAAGAGCATGCCTCCGAGATTTGCCAGCACAGCTGTGATAATCAGCAGATACATGTAGTCCGAGGGACTGCGCGCATACTGATCCTTTTCCAAGCGCGCACTATATTGCGTAATGAAGTAGCAGTTGATCAGGAAGTGGAAGCCAGTGGCTCCGCTCAGTGGGAATACAAAGAGGGACGTGATGCAGCGCCACAGCTGCAGCCGGGTCAGCACCAGCTCGCGCGAGAGGTACATGTATTCCATTGGCAGCAGGCCGAATCTGCAGAGTAGGCTCAGCCCCACGGTTGCCGTTAGCCAGTAACGGGTGAAGCGGGGCAGCGATTTATACCATGTCCCAGCGTCCATGTTCCTCCAATTTACATATAATGTCTTGATATTGCAAAACAGTCTTTCTTTTCCAATTGTTGATTTACGTGTCTTTAGTCGAATGTGTGGCCCAAATTCATCTACAACAAAAATGCCAAAAATACTGTCATCTTTTCTAGAAAATACCAGAAAAAAACATTCAACAAAATGTGCATATTTCGCGAACTAGACTAGTTTTCTCGTAGCATATACGGCTAATTACTCATAAACTCCGGAAAAGGGTTCAGTGTGTATACCATATGATGTAAAATAATATTCCAAAATGACAAACAAATACCGATAACGAATTCCAGTTCAGTGTAATCTCATTCGAAATTTATCGATAATTTTGAAGACGCGCGTGTTCAATTTTGAGTTGCTATGTTAAAATCTATGAAGATTACAAATTATCAACTATTATGTTGTGAATTCGAGCAGCTGCAAAAAAAAATGGGTACCGACTTCTCTTTTCTTATAAAAAAATCAACATTATAGTTATATAACCGAAATACGCGATTTTGAGCTTGCATTTGGATTTTATTTTAAATATTTTTTGTATCTCGTTTGGAATATGTCAAACCCAATCGCTTTTGTTCAAACTACTTACGAGCGTTGTATGTCAGAAATGAACAAAGGAAAACAGACGCAACGCAACGGTGCGAAACTAATGCACACTTGAGGATACCCTTGAAAATGTGCGCTTTTCCAACATGCTGCACTTTTAAGTGGGACGAATTTACGAATTAAATTGGCCCAGAGATGATTCAATTAAATAACTGTCAAGTCTATAATTTCGTTGTACATTTTATTTGCACTGCAATACGTAGCCATAAAAAGCACAAGAAAAAAACCGCTATCTTGGGCACGTCGAAGGATTAATACCCTTGCAGACCTGTGACTTACGGTTTTGAGGAGATATGTGAGGAGATTTGTAAAGCTCGTAATAGTGGAGCTTGGTAAATATACCTGAAAATAAAACATAATATTTGTTGTTTGATCGATTGAGCATTCTAGAATCTAGTAAATGTCATATTTTTTTAAATATCTTGAGATATTTTCAACCGATCGTTTCTAAGGATTATATAAGCATCATAAAAAAATAGTAAACCTAATAAATGCGGGTTCGTCAAGATATATGAAAGAAAGTTGTTCATACAGATCCGATCTTGGTATGATCCGGCCAGAATGACGGACCTATGCTTTGGGACATACAGACAGACAGGCCTATATCGGATCGGCTGTTTATACTGATCGGGAATACATATCCAGATGCGTTCTAGAAAAAACCGTGTAAAATTAGGTAATTGGTTTTATTTTTCCAAAGCCTATTAAAATAAGAGAAATAAACGAATTATGTTGAACGAGTTGTTATGTTTAATTAATAATTTTTTATAAAAAAAAAGGTATGCACTCGTAAATTAAAAGTAACGCAAATTAAATGTATCTCAAGCTCGGGAACTAAAAATTCATACGGCGCACAATTTATCTTAATGCGTTCAAACTAAATTGAATGTAATGCTTGTGAACTAAGGAATAAAATTGGAAAATTGTAAAATTCCTTGCAATACACGTCCAATTCAAAATGCTCTACAAAAGATCGTTAAATGAAATCGTGTAAGCATGATAATTTTAAAATCATGTTAAATCGCGGCCGAGTAAAAAAAATAATTTGGTATATTCTACGCGTTACAGATTTCATGGCGAACTTATAGAACTCTTTACAAGGGTATAAAAAGGCGCAGCTCTGTAACAAATAAAGGTACCCCGTACATTTGTACGTCATTTGGAAACTGTACTTTTACTCTCATCTTTCACTTTGTTCGGCTGACCCGTCTTTTCCAAAGAAGTCTTCAGGGGTCGTGAAAGGGTCAAAGTTTTGCTACATATTATATGACAGTTATTTTAGTACTTAAGATATGGCTGAGTTAGACAAAACAATGTTGAGAACCTCTGCTTTCAGGGAAATTTAATTGGAGGTGTAAGATACAGGTGTTCCGTCTTAAAACTTATTTTTAATGGAATACCGAGTAAATGACAAAACTTGAATTCCTATTGATGTAATATGCTTAAAACGTGTAAATTTTCGCAATAATTTAAAGTTTTTGCTGCGACAATTTTTAATTTGAAAGTAAAAGTTTTCCAAGGAATCTGTGTGAAAACAATTAAAAAGATACATTCCGATGCGAAACACAAAATTTATCTACACACGACTGCGTGAAGCACAAGCCAAGTATATGTATGTGTGTGTGTGTGTGTGTGTGTGTGTGTAGGCGAGTTTTTTGCCTGTTGAATTTGAATACATTGTGCATAATGTGGGTTTGCCCGTACTTACGGGAGAGAGAGAGAGAGAGAGACAGACAGCGATGTAGGATGCGAGTGCGAACAGAGAAACGAAAAGAACGAGCTAATCAAGTGGTTTTGGACCGGTTCAATGTGTACTGCTTTCTCTGTGGATGCGTTTGCATGTGTGTGTGTGCGTACGCTCGTGTGTGCGTGCATTTGTGTGAGTGAGCAAAGACCACACCCACCATTTAAATGCAAAATGGATGCTACAACTACAGACGCATGCGCTGCCTCCACCCTTGCAGCGACAACACGCCCACATGGTCATTGCTCATTATGAAGTTCCTTGCTGTTTTAGTAGCTGTTGACAATGAGCGGCGCACAGACGCCTAGCGGGGAGGGGGGTTTATTTATTTACGCGTTGAGCTTTTGCAGCGCCTTCCACTCACCTGGCGCGGTGTCATTTTGTTGTCGGCGATGCCGTTTTGCTCGCTCATTTCGTTGTAATATGTACAAATAACTGTGCACACATACACATTCTAAGCATGTATGTATGTGAGTGTGTGTATGTACACAACTCTAAATCATGTAAGGGGCTAAACCCTTTTCTTTTGTTATCTGGCACATCTTATATATATACAAATATATAAGTTCGATATGCATACTTTTACACATACTACAGATGAACTTACCTTATAATATACATAGCTATCTATGCACCTATATATGTGTACTGAAGCATAAGTATATGTACAATTAGTACATCCATTTGCCTGTGCAATATGTCCTCTTTTTATCTTGTCTTTAATCATCGCATTATTAATGATATATGAAATTAAGATTGATTTTGTTTTTTTGTATGTGTTTGTCAACATGTATGTACAAACATGTACATATGTTGCTAAAGAAACGCACGACTTGGGCAAATCCTAAGTTCAAATATCATTTAGCACTTCCATGGGAATTTTAAATACGTATATACACATGTATGTGTGTGTATGTACGTATCAGACATTGCCATCCATCCTAATTACAGTAATTATTTGATTACAAAATCTCCCAGGGTGCACAGCAATTCACATCCTTTTGCCCTTTCGACAGAAACATATACATATATATGTATGTATATATTTTTGTATGCATATACATATGTGTTGATGCATGTATGTATGTTAGTATAGAATGGCTATAACGACAGTATTCGGAACCCGGAATCATTTTTCGCATACGTATTTACACACATACGTACGTAGGGAGCACATATTTACATGCGTGTGACACATGTATGTATATGTATACATACATACATTTGTATATGTTTTTTACATTGATATGTTTTTTACAGTACTCCAGCATACAAACAAAGCGTTTCTCTCGATAATAGCGCAGCATGAACGGGTCGGCTTGGGAGGTTCACTTAACAGGGGGCACCCAAGACTCACTTGTAAAAATGAGAACGCAAAAAGAGGCAAATCATAAGAGGAGCGTGCGCCGCCAAATTGCAGTACAAATATGTACTCATCAAGGGTGTGGGCCGACGTAGGGGCACAGCTTAGAAAAAGGACAGTCCGCAGATACTGCAGCTGTCAAATATACATACATACGTACATATATACGTATGACTACATCCATAGCTGAGGTGTACGATGGCGTCAACTGTGCACACACACAGACACACACACACACACAACAGCACCCAATATACAAGAGACATATTGCGCTTCGCTCTGGAACAGCCCTCAAATACTGTGAAGGGGTCGCGGCTGCCGCTGCCCAATTGGTGCTAACGCGAGAGAAAGAGAGCGGCGCGTAATGACGTTGATTAATGATAATGACGTTTTGCGACCGCTTCTCGTATTTGTTTCATTTTTCGATTTCCCTCTGCCATCCATAACGGTAGTTGGTCGTCAAGTAAGAGCGAGAAAGCATGACCGCGCATGCTATTCATTTGACTTGAAGTTGACGATTGAAGCCGTCGGCAAATTGAACATAATAAGGTTGCGAATGCGTAGGTGAGGCCGAAGACAAGAACGCAACGAACGGTACGCGAATAACGGACATTGCCATTGAGACCCCGTCACCCACCATGTTTATAGCCCACAGAATCGTCGACAAGGAGTTGGCCTCCCAGTACACCATTTTTGTTTACCTTAACTTACTTTGGCTCATAAATAAAATATTTACATTACGAAATTGACGTCTTCGACGCTCGGTCGCATTTTCATGGTTCCTTTTTGGGTTCCTCCAGTGCATATTAAGCGGACAGCTTTCACCTCGCTGTAGGCGCGCGTGTGTGTGTGTGTGTGTGTGTGTGTGTGCCCTGTCGTGTCTCTCTGTGTGCATTTTGTAGAGATTCGCCGAGGAAATACTACAAAACCAACAAACAGTCCGCGACATGACCTGCAGCAGTCAGTGGATTGATTAGTCCAGGACAAATTCGGGGGGACGACCCACAAACCGCTTTGAAGTACTTTATGCAGATATTAAATTTAAATGCTTACTTAAGCAGTCGGAAAGACATCAAAAACGGATTTTAATTAACGAAACAAACAAACACCATAAGAATATTTGAAGATCTTGCTGTAAGTCTCAAATTTTGTTTACCTTGCATAATTGTTGTTTAACCAAGTTTAAATGGAGTTTTGTGTTAACAAACATTATAAGTCAATCTACACAAATTATACAAAACTCTCATCCATAACCTAAAAAAGTTAATTTTAAAATTATCATAGAGTGGGAAATTCGGCCCTCTGCAATATAAGAACTTACAATCATGGTCAAAATAATAAGCACACTACCATAACTAGCTATAACAAAGATAATGGAAACTCTTTTTTTTCTACTAACCATGTTCTGTTATGTGTTGATTTAAGGAAAGATTGTACAAATTAAAAAGGTCTCAATAAAATAACTAGTACATACCAA